AGTTTTACAAAAAATGTCAGATTGCCTAGGAAATGAGTAAACTCCATGGCATAATGCCATTGTCCAATGTTTTACATTTTATATTTTTATTTTTCCTTCTTTATACTTACAAGCACTGAGTATTGTACTGTAGGAATGTAAAGTGCCCATTTATTTTAAGAATCCATATTTCTAATAGCTCCTGAAACTATTGTAGATGGCCAATTTCCACTGCTTTTACAATCAAAACTGATTCCTAATCAATCATATCTGCTCCAATCTTAAAAAAAAAAAAAGTTAAGGGCTAAAATATTAGATTTTGTTTTGTTTTTCTGTTCCCCCCTTCCTTATTTATTCAAAAGAGGATTATGTCGATTTTAATTGAGAAATAAGAATGATTCATTCACAAATACTTATTATTTATTTGAGGGATCACCAGTATAAGATACTGTTCTAGATTTCAGCAGTGAACAATGTGCACAAAACCTCGTCCTTTGTGGAATTGTGGAGACAACTGGATATGGTTAAAAAAAAAAATCCTGCAAATTAACAGTTGGTGCTCACACTAAATGTTCTCCCATTCAGACTCTTAATAGATAACTAGATTTCAGGTTAGGAATTATTAATACTGATTAGGGAGATATCAAAGGGTGATGAGACCACCACTCAATATCTGAAATAAAAAATACAAAGCTGAATTTTTTGCTTACTGTGGTAACTATGAGCTATGCCGGTCAGAGCAGAGCAGACTGCTGATCTTACACGGGCTTTTCCAGAAGCTGGGAGTTCAGGAATGTGCAGACTTTGAGAAGTATGAATGGGATGACATCATCCATAGCCAGGTCTTTCGGGTGAGGTTGGTGTTCATTGGTTGGCTCTCAGAGGCCTGTTTTTTGGAGTGGGAGCCCCTTAAAGCCAGTTCCCATGTCACCCAAAGACTGGTGATGTGACCCCACCAGTCTTTGAGCATCTCTTTGCTTTCTAGCTCCAATAAGCTTCCAAATTTCTCTCTGCTGGAAAAGGCCAGGGGTGGTTTCTGCCACTTACAACTAAAAACCCTGATGGATGCAGAAATCAGTACAAGAAGTGGTCGCAGGCAACAGACTTTCAAGAAATAAGGGGAAATTTGGGACTGGTCATCTGCCCTAATAAGGGCTGAGGACAAGGAAAATCTAATTTGTATTAAGGGATATGAATTTGGCAGTCCAAGGCATGCAGTGGCAATACAGCTAACCAAAATATCTCAAGCTATTCCCAGAAATGAAGTGCCATTGAAGGGGTTGCTGCTATAGAATAGTATGAAACACACGAGGATTTCAAAGTGACTATAGCACTAGAGAGCTTAAAGAAAGAGAAAGACAAGCTCAGATGTTTATATTTTCAGCTCAAGGCATAGGCTGAAAATTAGGGATTGAATGACTGCTAAAAGAATCCCTTGTCTTTTGGAGCCATGAGGCTGAGAGTTAGAAATCAAATGCAGAGCTTGATTCTACAGCTTACTGGATTACATCATCTGTTGAATTTACAGCTATGTCAGATCTCTTATGGAAAAGTTAAGGCATTGGTTGGAAAAGATTGAGCCCCTGATAATTGGGATGGGGACACATGGAAGGATCTGGATTCCCTTGAATCTCCACCCCTTTTGAATCTTTCTTGATAGTGAAGCAGCCCCTATGTCCCTTGCTTGAAGACCTGAAATGCCCACATCTGGAGAGATCAATCTTGCAAAAGGAAGCTCATCCTTGCATTCTAGCCCTCCCATCCATTGTCATATCTCAACATGCCCCAGGGAATGAATAAAAAGTCAAACCAGAAGGAGAAGGCTTAGACAATAAAAGAACTACAATATTTTGCTTTTCATGCAAAATCTGAAGACTATGTGTGGAGCTAGAATGTGTGTGTGAATGCTGGGCTAAGTAGAAAGAACATAATTATTGGTCAGGGTGATGTATTGACACACTTTTTTTAAATTAATTTTTGATTCAGTGTGCTGCTTCAGCATCCAGGAGTGTTCTAACTGATTCCATGGTTGGGTAATTGGAACTCAGACTCAGTGCCTCACAGTGAATAAAGTTGAGATGCCTGAAATATCTTGGTATAATATAAAGAAAAAAATCCAAAGACTTTGTGAGACAGGCATGTTGAAGGAATGAATCATGTATAACTCACCAACTTACCACCACCCAACTCTGTCCCCCAAGATAGTGGCGGTGTCAGAAAACACTCCTTCAACAAGGCTTTAAGAAAAATGTTGGTATATTTGTTAGGATTGGTTTTGGCTGTGATGGGAACCCTACTCAGAGAAGTAAACAAGGGGTTTAATCTGTCTCGGGCATAAAAAAATCTAGGAGTAGAACACCCAGGACTGGTATGTCAGCTCAGTGATGCCCTCAGGTAACCAGCCTCCTGTTTTCTTGCTCTGCCATCAGTCGCCTGTGGTTTTCACCCTCATGTTTGCAGGATGGTTGCTGCATCTCCAGACATTGTGCCCTCATTTCAGAAAGGAAGCCCACCCAGGGACTTCTACCTATCTATACTCATTGTCTAGAACTATGTCACATAGCCATACATGGCTGCAATGGAGATCATGTGACTCAGTAATTCACTTTCCAGAGAGCATAGGAAGGTAAGGGAGACGGTGTTGGAATGGATGTCGAATGAGTCAGTCAATAGACTCCTCAACAATTGATGGGGATGCAAGATGGAAATGTTGCAGTAGAAATGGGCTCTCTGATTTCAGTGGGAAAGGGTGGAGCCAGGGGTAGCAGAGGTCAGGTAGCGGCCATGTGAGAAGCCAGGTGGATGTGGCTACCATAATCAGCAGCAAAGTCAGCACATTAATTACAATGGTCTGACCTGCAGGGATCTTTGGTGCTGCCTAACTGTGGGGTCCTTAAGACCAAAATAGATGGTCAAAGATCCTACTCCACTCTTATAATTTAAAAATCTCCCTGTTAGTAAACAAAGGCCTGATTTAAGTCATCCCAATATGGTCATGGCCCCTGACCCAATTCTCAGGTCTAGGTCAGACCAAGAATGAAGGAGAAGCCAGGTGTCTAGGGAAAGGGCCCTGCAATAATATCATAAGTACTTGCTATGGATTTTCTTTCCGCCAAGTCTTCCCCAAAGGACCCGAAGCCACTCACCAGGCCATTTCCCAGGTGTCCTGAGAAATATCCAGACATTCTAGGGATTATCAGAGACACTGGGTCTGCACGAATGTTAATTCCTGGAGACCCAGAACTCCACTGTGACCTACCCATCAGAGTGAAGGCAGTGCTGTTGTTCTCAGGGCATAGTCCTGTCAACCAGTGGAGAAAGGAACTCCTCCAATGGAGCAGATTTTCTGAGCAACATGTCTCTTCTGTTTTGCCAGGAGGTAGAGATGTCTGATATAGAAATCTATGCTGATCCATAGACAGTGGCTAATAACTTAGCCAGGTGATCAGAGATTTGGAAAGAGCATGACTGGAGAACCAGCCATGAGGTCTACGGGAAAGGTATGGCCAGAGTTCTCGGAATGGGCTCAGAGAGTGAGAATGTTTGTATCCTGTGTGAACGCTCAGCTAAAAGTCCTCAGTGCTTTTAATAATCAGGTGTTCTAGATGACCTATCTACAGATGTCAGTCAGCCTTCTCCAGCCACCTAGTGCTTGTTTAATAGATTCATGTACAAAGTGGCCATGGTGGCAGGGATGGGGAGTCTGTGTGTGGCTTCTACAATGTGGATTTCCCCTCACCAGGGTGACCTGACCATCCATCCTGACAGCCTACTTCTCAGCAGCAGTGACCAACCACATAAGTGCACACCCAGGGGAGACCAGCCCGTTCCTAGTGGAAAGATGATTACATTTGCCCCTCTTCTATCAGAGAGGAGATAGCAATTTGTCCTCCGTGGAGGGGACACATTCTGGAATTGGATTTGCTTTGTCTGTCCTCCAAACTTCTGCCAACACCATCTTTCACAGTCTCACTACATGCTTTTATGTTGTTATGCTCTCCCACATGACACTTGCTTCAGATCACAAAACTCACTTTCCAGTGAAGAGTAAGGCAGTGGGCTACCTATGGAATTTTGGAATTCTGGAATACTGGATGTAACCTAAACACCCATCACCCTGAAACAGCTGGCCTTCTGGGGAGACAACTCTGTGAGGTTGGAGTGCTGTTCTGCACTGTGGTATGTTTAGTATATGCTGTGAACCAGTGACCAGGGCCTGAATACAAGGATCTGGGAACCAAGGTGCAAGGAAGAACAGCACTCCTCAGTTAATACCTAGTGACCCCAAAACCTTTGCTTCCATTCCCTGCAGTTCTGGGCTTTGCTGATTTAGAGTTAAGCAAAGGAGGAATGCTTCTATGAGGGGAACACAGCAATGATTGCAATGGTTTGGAAGGGGAGGGTTACGATGTTGGCTGACAACACAGAGTTGCTGCTACACAATGGGGGATGGGAGAAGTATGGATGAAACCTTGTAGTAATATTGAACATTTATGGTAAAACTTAATGGAAGACTTCTGCAATGTTAGGTCACCAATGGCTCAGAGAGGAATGAAGGTTTAGACCACCGCACCTAGTAAAGGACTCTAATCCACTGAGGCGCTGGCTTAAGTAAGAGGAACAAGGAATAAGTAATGGAAAAGTCAAAAATAACTGGCCACGGCCTCATGATTAGCTGTAGAAAGGGCAATGGCTGCTGCCCGTACGTTTTTCTTTGCTGTCTCTTGTATTTACTTGTATATTTACCTAACTTTCTCTTTTTTCCTTGCCTCTTACCGAATTACTATACATAGTTTGTGTTGACGGTGGCTGACTTTACAATTTAGCTCATAGATTAGAGACTAACTATGGAGATAAAGTCATGAAGGAGCTGAGGGAGACACGGACGTCATTCAAGATCCTGGCCTTGAAGTAGTATATCAGGGGACTGTGATCTCATTTCTGATTGAGGGAATAATTAAATTTCTTTGAATTGTGTTTAAAGTCCACATTTTCTGACATAAGAAGAACAGCTAATTGGATCAGTAAATAATAGAATATTTTATTTCCAAAACAGTCAAGAAGTTGCTAAGCATAAAATGTGTCAAATGCAAGAAAGATGTTAAATGTGCAACTGTCAGTGAGTTTTAAGAAATGGATTTAATTACATCCTCTATTGTCTTTTCTTCAAAGGAGGAAAAAAATTAGTTACACCATTTGGCCAATATTATTTCATTAAAGATTTAACATAGATTTATAGGAAATAAAATACAGAATCTGTTATAAATATCCCAATTTATTCTACAGTATTAATCTCAAGTAATCCTGATCATTACATAACCACAGGTTTACCAATCTGTGATTTTATAGATAACCTTAATTTGTTAAATTAAAAAGAAATTTACAGACATCATTTTTACCGTTACAACATAGGGACACGCCAGCAAAAAAAAAATCAGAAGCATATTTTATGCTAGAGTTACTTTCTGTCCAGGTCGAAACATTGTTCCACTTTGATTTTTTCTCTTCTTTGGATTTTGAAAGCTTTCATACCTTAAAAAAAGTGAGAAATAATATTTAATACAAGTAAATGCTAAAATTACAAAACAATGGATTGTTTGCAAACAGACTTATATTTTAAGAAACAAAAGGGAAATAAACTGGAAAAAAATATTTGTAAAATAAATTAAAGTTCTTACAAATAAATTTTTAAAAGTTGAACACTCCAATAGAAAAAGGAGCAAAAGGGATGAAGAGACAAGTTAGAAAAGATAAAAGGCAAATGACAATGATTAATATAAAAATATAACCTCTATAGTTTTAATCAAAAAAATGTAAATTTTTAAATAAGATATAATTTTTCTCCAGTCAAATTGGCCAAGTTTAGATAAATACTATACTCAATGTTAGTGCAGGTGTGGTGAAACTAGTGTTCTCAATATATTGCTGCTGGGATATACATTATACAGTTATTTCTGGAAGGCAATTTGGCAACAGATTTCAAAAGCCTTAAAAAATGTGATGCAACTCCGTGATGCAACAATTCTATCTCTATCCCAGTGAAATAATTAAAGATACGTGCAAACATTCAGCTCTGAGAATGATCTTTATCACTTTGCTTATAATAGTGAAAACCTGGAAGCAACTTAAATGTCCAAAAATTGGATATTGTGGCGTAGCTATCCCATAAAATGACTTTAAAAACAAAGTAGTGACATATTTAAAATGTGAAAGAATGTTCAAGATGTATGGATGCATGAAAGGGTGACCGCTATAAAGCAATATGTGCAGACTGTCTTATTTTAGTAAGAAAATAGATAAGCATACAAACGAATGCGTTGGGAGGCAGTGGGACTAAGGGAAATTTCTGTTTTCTTATTTTTCCTTCTCTTTGTTCTCTGATTTGTTTCTACATGAGGTACATATTACTTATGTATGTTGAAGGGGAGCAGAATATGCCACTTCAACATGTACCACTTTGGCAGGTGGATTATTTTGAGCTGAAGGGAATCAAAACCCAGCAGACTCAGGAAAAGCTCTTTACCCCTCCCTGAACTGCCTAAAAGAATTTAGATAGGGGGCCTGTACCAGAAAGAGAGCTATTACCAGACAGAACTTTTTGTGTGTGTGTGAGGAAGACCAGCCCTGAGCTAACATCTGCTGCCAATCCTCTTCTTTTTGCTGAGGAAGACAGGCCCTGGGCTAACAACTGTGCCCATCTTCCTTCACTTTATATGGGATGCTGCCACAGCATGGCTTGATAAGTGGTGTGTAGGTCTGCACCCAGGATCCAAACCCGTGAACCCCGGGCTGCCGAAGTGGAGCATGCAAACACAACCACTACACCACTGGGCCGGCCCCCAGAGAGAACTTTTTTATCTGAAAGACTTATCCACATGGCAGGGCAAACATCTGCTCTTCTCATCTCCTTGTGAATCGCCTTCCGCCCTTCTGAAGTGCCAGGCCCCTGACCCTTTCCTTCACTCAGGATAGTATATAAGCCTCCACTGCCTGACTGCCTTTGAGTTTCATATTTTTATGAGGTTCATGATATTAAACTTGTTTTTCTCCTGTTAATCTGTCTTACGTCAACTTAATTATTAGACCAGCCAAAGAGCCTAGAAGGGAAGAAGGGGAAATTTTCCCACTCTTACAACATACACACACATGCATAACCCAAAGTACTACAAAATTAAACATAAAAGAGTTGTAACTTCTAAAGACCAAGAATAAACATTTCTTGAATTAAGTTGAATCACTGACCTAGAATGGTGCCCAGTCTATGGCTCTCAAACTCCTAAGTCACTACAGAGACGATTGCAAGAAGCCTATAAATCCAAATGTGTACTAAACATGGTCCACAAGTGAAGAAATTTAAATGTATTTACATGTTCTTGAGATTAATATATATAATTTTGAAAGCAAAATGTGTATTTTTCATAACAATTTTTGCAAACTATATATTGGAGTATTTTTTTTTTTCTTTTGAGGAAGATTAGCCCTGAGCTAACATCTGTTGCCAATCTTCCTCTAACATTCGTGCCCATCTTCCTCTACTTGATATGGGACTTCACCACAGCATGGCTTGGTAAGTGGTGCATTGGTCCGCGCCTGGGATCCGAACCCCGGGCCGCCAAAGTGGAGTGTGCAAACTTAACTGCTACACCACTGGGCCGCCCCTGGAATCATTTTGAGCTTTTAATTTTCCTTTTATTTTTTCAAAGCTTTCAAAATTAAATCAGTTTATTAACAAATAATCCAAATATAATCAAATGAATTGCTTAATGAAAATTCATTTTTGACTTCTATACTCCTGAAATTTCAGGGTGTTCAAATGCATAGCTACTCAACAAATTTTTTGAATTGGCTTTTACAATATTCAAAATATTATTTGTGATTTTAAATAATAACTGTAACGTTTAAGTGAATAACTGTCACCTGTAATATTAACTATACTTTTGAATCAGAATCTGTCACTTACAGCTCAGCAAAATTCTTCCAGTCATCTTCACTAATGGACGGCCTTGTGTGACTGAGTGCAGTCATTAAATGTGACTGACTAATAGCCAGACTGGTTTTGGTTGGTCCTGGTTGGTTAAGGGAGTCATCCTCCTTAAAGAAAATGACAAAAAGTTAACTTAGGGACGTGATGAAAAAAGAGGCAGTCCAAGTGTTATTTCTTTTTGTCCATTTTCCAAGAGACTATACATTCCCTTTCTCTTACGATTACTAAAAATTGTTTGAAAGCAGGAAGCACATAACCATTTGACTTCTCAATGTGTTTCAGTCCCTTGTTTATGAATATAGCTCATTTACAAATCAAAGATACATATCAAAAAAGGAAAAACAATTTTTAAAAAGTTTTTATAATTATAATAGGGGTGAGAAAAGCCATACTCCACTTTGGCTCTGGTATCTGCCTTTGATAACACTGATGTCTGCCCTCAGTTGATCTCTTTGTTCCTGTGTAAGCTCCTGGTAACCCTCTTGTGAAGCTGTTCCGAACACTGGAGGTCGTGAAAACAACGGATCTTTCCCAGGAACTCCTGGAAAATCCTGAGTCATGGAGCTTGGAGCAGACAGGCACTGTGAGCTCTGCACGGTTAAGTATAACAATCAAAGAAGGAAGAAGGGGAGAGAGGAAAGCGTGGGGGGGTCGGGAAGGGAGGGAGGGAAAAAGAGAGAGGGAGAAAAAAACAAGTATGTATTTATCAAAGATAAAATTAAAAATTTTAAGCAATAAAACCTTAACATGGATAAGCTTACATTTTAATTAACTGAAATTAAGCAAGTTTAAAATATGTTCATATTCTATAAAGGTTCACTTACAGCTATGTTGTTGAACCACCGTAGAGTGGAAACTGTCATAACACAAGGTTTCTTTAATGCTTTGTTATTAAATCTACCACACTAATGCCCTAGGATAGGTTCCAAATGAGCCTTTTTCTTAGTTTTCAGCAAATAGAGTTCTACAGAATACTAAGAATACTAGAATACTAAGGTTCTACATAGGGACATTTCTACATAGAAGTTAAGAAATAGAAAACAGAATTAAAGACTAAACAGCTTACTATTCTTAGGAATAAAAATGGGTTACCTTTATATTTTTAAGAACTGAATTAATAAAGCAAATTTATAAAAAATATAACTAAATATATGTAAAAATGTTACGGGTACCATTACAGTAACAGTGAACTCCTGTTAATTTGGGGAGGATATATGTTGAATGCTATTTTAATTTAGAAAAACAATGATACTGCCTATATTTAATCTAAACATTTTCCTTGTTGAAACATTCTTACTACTAACAACAATTTCATTGTGCTTATACTTTCCACCAAAAGTATGACAAATAGATAACACTCTGTTGTCAGGAATTTTTTAATTTTTTTTGCTGAGGAATATTCACCCTGAGCTAACATCTGTTGCCAATCTTCCTCTTTTTGCTGAGGAATTCACCCTGAGCTAACATTTATTGCCAGTATTCCTCTATTTTGTATGTAAGCCACCACCACAGCATGGCCACGAGTGGTGTAGGTCGGCACCCGGGAACCGACCCTGGGCCGCTGAAGCAGACTGCACAAAACTTCACCACTAGGCCACCGGGGCTGGCCCTGTTGTCAGGAATTTTTGACATTATTGTACCAAATTTCTCATTATCCTCAACTGTTCTACGATAACAGAATTTAAGTTTAATATAAAATGGATCTGGTACTAATGATGTTTTAAACCACCAATAAAGGGAGAGGAACCTGAAAGAAACCAAAGGGTGATCCCAACCACCGGCTACTTTGGCTCCCCCTTTGCTGCCAGCTCTGTCTTACAGTTCTTAACAAGAATTTAAAACAACTAATCAGTGTAAGTCAGAAAACCAAGACTATTTTACTGAAGAACCAACCAACCAGAAAGAACATGGGGGGCTGCTTAGGAGACAAATCACTGTCCAACTGTACACCAACATACAGCTGTGTATTTCAGAACTGTACAAGGACAAGAGCACAAGGTACCACATCAGAAGAGGTTCCATTTCCAAGTTCTGATTCATACGAGCTTCCAAAGTAGAGCCGGTATATATTGAATTTTGATTCATCTGGAAGCATCTCGGACATCTCGAGAGAAACAAGGGACTGCTCTAGGCCACATTCTCCATCTCCAGCTGAATCATCAGAGCCACTGCTGTGGTTAAGAAAAACCATTGAAGACAGACTTAGGTCACTATCAGAGCTGGAATTTCCATCCTAAAATACACAAAATGACAACCAGTTGTAAAGATCTAAATAATCCATAACTCAGAAATAAACAACACAGACAGCATTCTAATAGACCAGTACAATGAAACCCAAGGCATTTTTCAAAAAAGCTCTTATTAATTCTCTAATGGTTCTGAGGCACATAATAATAAAATTTTAACTATTAAAATAAGGAAAGACAAGACGGAATGTGTAGATAATTTGCCAGCCACTTCCCCAAAAACTCTAACAAAGCTAGGTCTCAGACTTCTGGATTTTATTTTTATGTCTCTGTCTTTCAATTCATATTTTTCTACTCTGAAACGACGAGTCAACCACATTATAGAGTGCTTTACCATTATAGAGTGCTTTACAAATAAACACCTTTTCTAGTAGTGAAAGAGGGAAAATAAAGAACTTCAATGGCTTGCCAAAACAGATAGCAAAAACTTGATAGTATCTGATTTACGACTTAAGGCCCTGCAAGAATCTCCAACAAAATGGAGGGGAGAGGAGTATACAGGAAAATCCTTCCTAGAAAATATATGGTAAAGTCCATAATGTAGTCCAGTTCAAACTATCTGCTGCAAAAATTAAAATCAAAATACTAACCTTAGAGAAAAGGCTGATTCTAGGGCTAAGTACAGCAAGTACAAGATAAACCTAGAACACCTTGTTGTATTGGGAAATAACTAAGTGATCAAAGAATTATGAGGACATATCAAAAAGACACAAAAGCCATCCCAAAGCAGCTCCTACTGGCCAGATCTGGGACAATTTGAGCTTCAAAATAAATAACTTTGATTATTTTTTAAAAATTAAAGTACAAGACAAACTGAAAGCTCCAATATTTTTCTGTTTATACTATCTAATTCATCTTACCCCAATTTAAATAATATCCTTCCACACACCAACATATTTTGCCAACAGTAAGGTAATATTAAAGAAACAGACACCAACTCTGCATAATTACAAATTCTCTGCAAAGCCAATATTCCAACTGTGGAACATTCGACTAAAGGTAAATTTCTATACAGTTGTACCAGAGTTGTTAAAAAACAGGATTTTTTAAGGTTGAAATTCTGACATTGAACTGCTCTTTTCACTCATAAAACACCATAGTACCGATCTCCTCCTGTAACTTACTTGGAGTCCAGAGGACAGCAGCCTTCCATGTAAGGCCTCTAACTGGGCATTGTAAAGCAAAGCCTTCAGATCAGCGCCCGTGAAGGAGTCGGTCACTGACGCCACATGCTGAAGGTCCACGTCATCTGCCAGAGGTAGAGAGTCACTGAGAACGTTTAAAATTTCAAGACGTGACACCTGCAGGGAGAAAAACTGATTTAACAAATAAAATTAAGTATTATTTTAAACTATGTATCTTATGATTTTTAATAAATTATATATCTAATAAGCTTTACAAGTAAGTTGAGAAATGTACCACCAGTCTGCTATCTATTCTTGGAACTTTTTCCCTAACAGAAAGAATATAGGGAGAAAAATGAATGAAAATCAACATTCTTAACTCTTCAGTGTAAGTCATTTCTTATTCAGACAGTGCTTCCTGTCTAGATTTGAGCAAATGTGCCAAAAAAGTGTTTCAAAAGGAAAATTAAAATAATTTAACTAATAGCTACATGTGACATATATTTAGATATTTTATACCTCTGGCTACTCATTTCTCTACTTGTCCTTTCACTCATTTATTCATTAGTTTCTAAATCTGAGAACAAGAGTTGGAACAACACAGGACTAGGAACAGTTAAAATCCTCTCTCTGTGTAACCTGCTTACATGCTTACTAGTTATATGCTTGATTCTGTGTCAGAGTCTTTTGTCAGGATAAGAGGTGTGTGATTGCTGAACACAGGGAATGTGGACATGAAACACTTGAGGTTTCCTTCCTTTTTTTCCAACTGGTGAACACTGAAAGATTATAAAGTTTTCAGACTTGCGTGGAAATGGCTGGGCCAAAGAGAGGCTTTACATCTAATTCATAATCTTTTCATGCTGTGAGCAAACAGTGACTAAGGCCTTTGCCTAAAGCTGGTCTTCTAAGGACAATTGCTATTACCTGGCAGAAGTAAAGTTCACAAGGAAAGAGTGTAGCATTTGTTGGGTTTTGGACTCTAAATATGAATTGTCACCTGATCAGGAGGAGGACAGTATACACATTTATCTAGTCGGCCAGGCCTAAGCAGGGCAGGGTCAATCAAGTCAGGACGACTAGTAGCAGCCAATACATAAACACCTGGAGAAAAAAAATAGAAATTCTTTACTAAATCCTGCTGAAATTTTATTATAATAAGATATCTCTGTATTCACAATTATTACCCTGTAAGCCTTCTACTCCATCCAACTGGGTCAGCAGCTGGTTAACTACGCGATCTGTAACTCCTGTATTATCATGGCCTCGCCGAGGAGCAAGGGATTCAAATTCATCGAAGAAAAGAATGCAGGGTTTTGCAGCCTGTGCTCTGGGAAAAACAAACGATATTTCATATTTGAGTAGGGCCTCACAGTTTGCAAAGTAATTTATATAGATATAAATATATAAATAAATATAAATCTATATAATATATAAATCTATTTATACAGATATAAATATATATATCTGTATACACACACATATATATGTATTTATGTATTTATTTAAATCTTCATACCAAACCCTTAAAGAAGGCAAGGCATCTGTAATTATCCTTGTTTTCAGTAAACTGAGTCTTAGAGAAGTCACGGTGTTTGCCTAAGACTCATGCCTTCTGGACAAGGACTAAAACAAAAATCAGAGTCTTATTCAAGAAGTGAAATGTTTCTTTGATTCTTACTACACTACAAGTAAACATTTTTTTATACAGTAATGTGCCGACTAATGACGTTTCAATCACCGACAGCCCACATATACGACAGTGGTCCCATAAGATTAGTAACACATAGCCCAGGTGTAGAGTAGGCTATACCATCTAGGTTTGTGTAAGTATACTCTTTGATGTTCACACAATGATGAAATCACCTCATGACGCATTTCAAAGAATGTATCCCTGTCGTTCAGCAATGCATGACCATATGCTTAATGGCCACCTGTACTGCTTTTGCCCAATGTCTATTCATGTCTTTTGTCCATTTAAAATTTGGTAAGCTCATTAGTTTCATATTGTTTTGTATGGGCTTTCTATAAAATATATTTTAGTTACGTATGTTACATTTTTTTTTCTAATTTGAACTTTGACTTTTAATTTTATTAACTTATTAACCAATTTTGTTTTAATTAAAAAGAAGAGAATATAAATTCCATCTGTGGTAACAGAGTGGACTAGATGTCTAAAGAATCACCCCGACTGCAAAACACCTATCACACTGATTGAAAAAAAACAACAAATATCCTATTAAATGCATGACAAGTAAGATAAATCTTCTGGGGCCAACAAGAGATGGAAATTCTCTCTTCCTTGAATGTTTGGCAAAACTCTCCTACAAAACCAACTGGATCTGATGTTTGATTTGCATAAAGATATTAAGTAGTGACTCAATTTTTTCTACAGTTACAGGACTATTCAGATTTTCTTTCTTCTCTGCTAGATTTTGGCCAATTATATTTTTGTTTATGTCACCCAAGTTTCAAATGTATTAGCATAAAGTTCACAATATTGTTTCATAATATTCCCTTTTTATCTTTTTATATTTCTGGCATATCTTTAGTCATGTCCCCCTTTTTATCCTTAATATTATTTATTCATGCTTTCTTTCTTCTTGATCAATCTTACTGGAAATCTGTCAACTATATTAGGCTTTCAAGAAATATTTGGGTTTGTGAACTACTCTACTGAATTGTTTTCCATTTTATTAATTTTTGCTCTTTATTACTTCTCTTTTTATTTTTTTAAGTTTATATCTATATTTTCCCAATTTCATAAGATGGATACCTAGCGATTAACTTGCAACTTTTGTTTCTAAAAATTTAAGTCTATAAATTTTCCTTGAGACAGGTTTTGCAGCATCTCACAATTTTAATAGACAGCATTTTCATTGTTACTTAGTGCCAAGTATTTTCCATTATGATCTCTTCTTTAACCCATGAATTATATAGAAGAGTTTTGGTTTTTTTAATATCTAAATGTATGGGAGGAGATTATCCTTTTGTTGTTTATTTTAACTTACTCGTGTTTTCAGAGAATAGAGTTTGTATGATACTGTTTTTTTGAAACTTACTGCAATTGCTAAGTATGGCCTGACATGTGGCCAATTTTCAAAAATGTTCCAGGTGTGCTTGAAAAGAATGTGTATTCTCTAATTGTGGGGTACATGTTCTAAACATGCTTAGATCAATCTTGCTGAACATGTTATTAAATCTTCTGAATTTTTACGATTTTTTTTTTTACCTCAATCTAACTAATTACTGAAAACTACGTTAAAATCTTCTACTCTGAAGGTGGATTTGTCATTTCTCTTTGCAGTTCTGTCAATTTTTGCTTAAATATTTTGAAGCTAGAGTATTAGATACAGAAAATTTTAGAATTGTAGTATCTTCCTGGTAAATTGAACCTTTGGTCAATATTTGGTGGCTGTATCTGTAATAATGCTCTCCTGGTAGTGTCATAGTTCTTAAATTGGGTGGTGGATATACAAGAGTTCATTTTATTATTATTCTTTAAAATGTATATGTACATTATATACATATTCTCCTAATTGCATATTTTACAATAAAATTTTAGGAGAATGGAGTAAAGTACCTTTTTCATTTGAAAACTCCCTATAATCTCATCACATTTAAATAAGTATTTTCATTCTTAAATATTAGTTTCTGTATTCATACATATATTTCATGTATTTTTATATAAATGCAGTGATAGTTACACTCTATTAAACTAAGTTGGCCATATGGAATCTTAAGTTATAAAAGAGATAAACTGGAATAATTATGTGCTTCATACAAGGACCTACTTTGAGATTCCTTTGAATAACCATTTATGATTCCACTTTCAGCATTTCAGGAATATTTCTATTGTAAAAATATACCAAATAATTTCCAAAATTTAATATCGAAATGTTTTATATTTAAATGGTATTTGGTGAAACAGAATCTTTGTTCTCTAGTTTATTAATAAACCACATAAATCACAGGTTTCAAACATCAGTTGTTCAAAAAAACAAGTGCAGACCAAACAGCACTGACTGATACATACTTATGAACAGAGTTAGTTACTTAGACATTCATAGGGAACCAACCTAATAAAAATGTCCCGCACAGCTTGTTCACTTGCTCCAATATATCTGCTGAGTAACTCCGGTCCCTATCAGGTAAAATAAAATTAATATTAGAATTAACATAAAATTATTTAAAAACAAAATATAAGTTTTCTTTATGACAGTCTAAATGCAGTCATGGAAAATGTTTAACATGATTAAATGGATGTCTCAAATACATTTTAAAAATTACATGGCTGGAATAAATATCATTAACACAATTTCTACACTTGGTGTTTCCTTTACCTAGAACATTTGTCCCCAGCTGGTCTCATGGCTCCTTGCTTCCTTTCATTTGGATCTCTGACAAATGCCACATCCTGAGAAAGGCCTTGCCTGACCGCCCCGTCTATGCCCACTCCAGTTACTCGACATCTCCTTATCCCGCCTGTCTTCCTACATAGTACCTACCACCACCCGACACCATATTATATACCGAACCTGACTGTTTACTGTCTCTCTCCACCAGTAGAATGTAAGCTCCAAAAAGGCATTTTGTTCACTACTGAATCCCCGGTGCCAAAAACAGTGCTCGCCACATAATAAGTACTGAATAATTATTTGTTTAGTAAAGAATGGTTTAAAAAGGGAAAATGTTCCATCTATCTCAAACTTTTGGAGACTCCAAAAACTATGTAATGAGATGTGAATTACTTTCATTTCCTCAACACAGACAGAGAACTATAGAGGATGGAAGAAGAAATAACTAAGGCAAAATATTAGGAACAAGGCAACATAATGGTGTCAGGGAAAGGCCCCCGTCTCTCACGCACGCCTCCTGGGACCCACCGTGACCCACCCCGAGAGAATTAGCTCTCTGCTGGAAGCTTCCCATTGAGAACTCATCCCAGTTTGTGACAGGAAGATTTACTAAAGGGGATAAGACATTCTCCCTAACGGAACAATCTGAACTACAACAATCTTCACAAGCTTTAATCTTGAAACCAAGCTTGTGGGGGAGATGTTTTCCCTCACATTCACTGAGCGCCTCCTGTGTACCAGGGGCCAGTCACCCTGCAGGGCACCCTGCACAGGTGTCACTTCATTCTTTTTTTTTTTTTGCTTAAAGTGTAGTTGACATACAGTGTTGTATTAGTTTCAGGTGTACAACATAGTGATTTGACATTTATATACGTTACGAAATGATCACCCTGATAAGACTAGTAACCATCTGTCACCGTACAGAGTTATTACAATATTTTTGACTATGTTCCCTATGCTGCACATTACATCCCCATTACTTAGAAAATTATATGTTTTTTAAAAAAAAATAGTGAGACTATATTCTAGTGACAAGTAAAAAAGAAGAGTACGGTCATAGTTCTTTCAGAATCCAGAAAAAAAAATAAGAATATTTAAAAGTTACAGTGTTTCTCCATCACTGCCAAGGTACTCATGTAGCCAGCTCACAAAAGAAGTATAAGAAGAGGTGTAGGTAGGCATAACCCAATTGCAAATTACTAAACTTTCAGATTACAAATCCATTTTGAATAAGGCTACCATATATGATTCCTTTAACTTGAAATCTAATCACTCTTTGGTAAACTAATATTGCTGAGGCGCTGAAACTATGCAAATAAGATGCTGGACCCTAGACCATAATGACACACCAGTGGTGGACTGTGAAGTACTACCTGAAATGATCTGTTAGCATGTCCTTTAATTACCACACTCACCTTATATCAGAAAGAACTTAGACCTAGTGTGACACAAGCAAAGGTGAAATACAGCCAACAAATAACAGAACTATAAAAACCCCAGCTGCCTGCCTCAGTGTGGTCTCTAGCCCCTATTCTAGGTTTTCTTCATCCTTCAAGTATAGTTTGTTCTTTTACCTGAATATTTATACGTAATTCTATTTACAATGCATGAAGAGTTGCCTTAAAGAAGAACATAATAAGCCCAACAAAAGAGAGGTGGCTCATTATTCAGTCTCCCACAACACAGCTTTAACTAACAGATGGATCACTGCTCCTACTCGTTTTCCAAATATGAAACTAACCCACAATCAAGAAACAAAAATGGTGTTGGCGAGGATACACAGACATAGGAACACTTGTACATTGCTAGTGGAGATGTAAAATGGTGCAATCACTGTGAAAAATAAAAATGGCAGTTCCTGAAAAAGTTACACATAGAATTACTATATGACCCAGCAATTACACTCCCAGGTATATATTTTAAAAAAATGAAAACATATGTCCATACAGAAATTTGTACACAGATGTTTATAGCAACATTATTCATAATGGCCAAAAGATGGAAACAACCCAAATGCCCACCAATGATGAACGGATAAACAAACTGTGGCATATCTAAACAATGGAATATCATTCAGCCATAAAAAAGACTGAAGTATGACACATGCTACAACTTGAATGAACCTTGAAAACATTATGCTAAGTGAAAGAAACCAGACACAAAAGGTGACATATTTGCGTGATTCCTTTTACATGAAACATCCAGAATAGGCAAATCCATAGAAACAGAAAGCAGATTAGTGGTTGCCAGGGGATGGGGGGATGGAGAATGGGATGAAAAAGTTTGAAACTAGAGAGAGGTGGTGGTTACACACCATTGTGAATGCATTAAATGCCACTGAATTGCACATTTTAAAATAGTTAATTATTATGTTATGTAAATTTTACCTCAATAAAAAGAAAAAGAAGAGGAAAAAAGAAAGATTAATGTAAAACATACCTTGACACTAATAAAATTCATTCCACTCTCTCGTGCAATTACTCCAGCTAGTAAGGTTTTCCCTGTTCCAGGAGGACCATACAACAGTACTCCTGTCCTCTGTCGTATGGGCAAGTTTGCAAATAATTCTGGGTACTGAAAAATATTAAAATATGACAAAAAACTCAACAAATGACTAAGCAGCAGCCAAAGAGCAATGTATAGAAAAAAGTATTCAGATGGTAGTAACTGCCACCTTTATTAACAGTATGATAGAAAATAAAATTCCTACTCAAAGCAATAAATGAACTCGAAGAAACTACCACAGATTTTTCCCAATTGGACCATGGAATACAGTCTACATAAAATGTATATAACTACATCAGAACTTCTTTCCATTTTTTCCTGTTTTTTTTAAACAGTATAAAACATTTTAAACATTATAAAGATTAAAAAAATTAAAACCAATCTTTTAACAAGTATACTGCCTTCCACTTGTATGGTTCACAAAGCAAGTTATGACAGCTACGTATATTCAAATATATCAATCAAAGAAAGAAAAGAAATAATAGAGAAGCATGTATAATGATAACAGACAGTAAAATCTCCCAAGTCTCCATGCTGAACAAGCAATTAACTGTTTCTAAAGCACCAGCTTCTCAGAGAGCAAGAAAAGTTTTTGAACAGGTGAGAAAACATCAGGCTAGTATCAGCAATATCCTGGTCTCCTCTAGCAGGTATGCCTATTTAGTTTCACCTGTTGAGAAAATTCTAACCCCATCCCTACCTCCATTCTAATCTGAAAAAGGCCCCAAGTCAGCAGTCATGCAGAAGGGTTCCACAGACCTGGATGCTAATGCTTGGTGCCCACTCCCAGCATTGGGGTCATGATCCTGCTGCCACGTCCTTCCATGCCCATGTTCTCTCAAACAGGCTTCAGCCCACAGTCCTGGGCTGCACTCAATATGTCCCAGGCTCCACGGGCCACAGTTCCCAGGACTTACCATCTAGTTACCTGTAACTGAGGTCCTTACTCATTTCTTTACCTCTTTGCATGGATCCCTGATCTCATGCAATGATCCTTATCTCTCAGGTTTCTGATTCAAACACACTACCTCCTAGACTCTACCTTCTGATCTTCCGAAGAACAATCTACATCTGCCCCCTTTATCCTGCCATCTGCCTGATCTATGCTGTCTGCTAACTCTGCTTTTCCAGGACTGACACCCAGAGTCTAGAAATCTGGCTTAATCTGGCGCTGTGGACCTAGTTGACTCTTCCAACTCTCAGCTTATTCCTATTTGTTTCTGTTCAAATTCCAGCAGACAGTTAATTTCTTTATAAGTTTCTTATGAGCAAGGAGTATATTAAATACTTTAAAAATCTGTTACAGTACCAAAAATAGTGCTGGACATTTATTTGGTAACTCAGAAAATACCTGTTGAATCAAACTGAGATTGGGCAAGCCAACACATAAAGCTAAAGCCAATGATTCAGTGGTTCTTCTGGGAGTAAGTACTTGATTTTTTTTTCTTAAGTACCTTAGCTGGTAACTGGATAGTATCCATGAGTATCTGCCGAACTTCATGTAATCCACCAATCTTATCCCAGCCCAGATCCCTAGGTTTATGCAGGTTGACATTTCGCAGAGATGCAGGAATAAATCCGTGGAGAGCCTTTTGGAAGTCCAATGTTGTTAAAACTAATTCTGTTTAAAAATGAACAAAACTTCTTTTGGTAGTCATATTTGCATATGAATTTTCAAAATATGCCATCAACTTAGCTCTAAATACGATTTTTCTACTCAAATAACTGCTTATTTGAATACTATAATGGAATATATTTAATTCTTACCTTACTGAAATTACATTCCTCCACAATGGAAGGAAGATTTCAAATTTTAGTTTTAATAGTAACACATACCTTCCCTAGTGGATATACTCTGATGAGAGAGACGGGAATGCATGGCTCGGTCCACAAGCACTGTAAAATCTCTAGCCACAAACCCTTCAGTTTCTTTAGCTATCCGTTGCAGGTTAAGATCAGTGAACTTGTTTATGTCACAGTCCAGTTTATTTTTGATTACATTATGCAGAATTTCACATCTTTGCTCCTAAATAAAAAGCACAAAATTCAAATTTATAATTTTACTCAACTATAAATTTTAGTACATATATTTTGAGGAAAATCAGGTTGATGCAATCTATAGTGACAGAAGCAGATTGATGCTGTCTGGGGTGGGGGAAGGATGGACGCCAAGGGGTACCAGGAAACTTCTGGGAGTGATGAGAACGTTTGCTACCTTAATTGTGGTGATGGTTTCATGGTATATACATATGTTAAAACTCATCAAATTATACACTTTAAATACCGAGTTTGTTGTCTTCAATTATACCTCAATAAAGTTGTAAAAAAAAAAATCACATTGATAAATGATTGCTATTTCTTTCTCAGCTAAGAAGCCTTCTTAGTAATATCTGGTTCCTTTAAGAGTGTTTTTTTTTGTTCCCATAAAACTTATTTCTAAAAACATATTCAATGACCAATACCACTACCATTCTGTTATGCTTAGTAATAGGTATAATAGTTTTGTTCTTCAATAACAGTTAATTAGCAGAGGGTCTGAATACTTAGGGTAGATGCTAGGTAAGAATCTTCAATAAGAAGTTAAAATGTGCTTGCCAGTCCCGGAATATACTTCTTCGAGCTCACTGCCACTAAAACCATCATGAACATGAGTCCCCAAAGGGGACGATGCGCCATATGTGCTTGTGATATTGTGGTTTATAAGAATTATGTATTTGGTCTTTGTCCCTGTTTCTGGCATAGAGCTCCTAAAACCTTAGAATTTCCTAAGTGATACGAGTGATAAAGCTGTCTTGATATTCATAACAAACCCTTTTCAACCACAACTGAGCTTATGTTAATGAGGTGACTTTTGGAAAGCACCTAAGGATGGGGGCTGGCTGCCAGGGGAACCAGAAACTTTTAGTCCCACCCCCTGATTTCCGGGGAGAAAAGAAGGGCTGGAGGTTATGTCAACTGCCAATGGCCAATGATTTAATCAATCATGCCTTGTAATGAAGCCTCCATAAAAACCCAAGAGGAGCGGGTTCAGAGAGCTTCCAAGTTGATGAACTAAAACCCTTCCACGTGCCACCGTGCGGGGCCCCAAACTCCACCAGGACAGAAGCTCCTGTGTTCGGGACCTCACCCTGTGTATCTCCCTTCATCTGGCTGTTGATTTGTATCCTTTAAGATCCTCTGTAATGAACCAGTAATCTAGTGAGTAAACTAGTTTCCTGAGTTCTGTGAGCCGCTCTAGCAAATTAATTGAACCCAAGGAGGGGGTGGTGGGAACCTCTGATTTACAGCCAGTCAGTCAGAAGCACAGGTAGCAACCTGGACTTGTGATTGGCATCTGAAGTGGAGGGCAGTCTTGTGGGACTGAGCTCTTAACCTGTGGCATCTGATGCTGTCTCCAGATAGAGAGTGTCAGAATTGAGTTGAATTGTAAGACACCCAGCTGGTGTCTGAAAATCGCTTGGTGGTATGGGGGAAAAGTCCCACACATTGAAAATGGGTGCCAGAATCTTAGTAGGTGCAGAATATTAGTGTAGGTAAAAAAAAATGTTTAGTTAATCAAATTTTTAAAAGACAGCTATTTGCATTTCTCACTGCTCTTTCTCATTAAGAAGAAATGCTTAAAAAAGGTAACTATGTGAGGTGATGGATGTCTTAATTAACTTGATTGTGGTAAATATTCCACAGTGTATACATATATCAAATCATCATGTTGTACACTTTAAATTTATACAATTTTATTTGTCAATTATACCTCAATAAAACTGAAAAAAATTCTAATTTCCATGATGTATTTATAGATTTCACCAATGGGAAATGAAGCAGTTCAGAATTTTTAGGGTTTTTGTTTCTTTTTACATGTAACAGAAAAAGAAGACTTTAATGAAAAAAAAAAGAAGAAATGCTTTTTTCAAAAAAGCCATTTCCTTGGAAAGTACATAGTAACATTTCAGGTGGTTATAAATGAAAATTGTGCATCTAAGCAAAACATGCACCAAATGTCAACTTTTAAACATTCTTAAGAACATTAACATAAGCATAAGTGTAAAGCCATAAATCATTAATATAACTGAAAAATAATTTATATAAAGAGAGACATATTTCAACAATCAAGATTTCAACAATTCAACAATTCAACCACAAGTAGTATGTTACCTGATCAGGAGGCTGAATATGTTGAACGCACTGAAATATGTGAATGCCTTGAGCAGAAGCAAGTAAAGGATGCACAGAATGTTGAGACTGGCTTGTGGCAATCAGTGCAACCAAACTTCCCATGGAAATAAACTCTTTCATCATATCATTCAAAGCTAGAATCGAGGAATTTAGTGTAAAAGCTTAGTAAACATAAACATGACATTTTAAAATTATACATTCATTAAAAATAATGATAACCTAAAGTCAAGCTTTAAGGTGGAGTATGAATGGTATGGTTCATTCATACTTTTTAAAAATTAAACCTTCCATTCATTCACTGGTTTCTCTATTGAAGACCTAATATTGGCCAGGCTCTAGTCAATCAAATGGAGGCAGAGGAGGCACTATAAACTCAGTCTGTATAATCAGAACAAAGCCTAGTGAGGTTCCTTACTTCCGGATCCTTAAAGTAAATGAAAAGGAGTCTTTGAAGTAAATATTATAGAAGGATGATAAATTTCAATATTGTGTTCTGTTAATCAAGCAAAATATAGCTCACATTCTTATGACTTCCTGAATAATCTCTTTCCACCCCAGGTCTTGCAAGGTTTGGTTGGTATGAAGTTGGAACTGAAACAGGCAGTAATCATATATATCTGAGTCCTGACCTAGAAATTTGAGGCATTCCCTTAAACACTAGACTATCAAGTCTCACAGATGCTACAGGATTCAAAATGTGAGACTAACACTAGTTTATAACAACCCAAGCCACTGTGGTTGCATTTTGTATATATTTCAGCTCTCAAGAATCTTGAGGTAGCTGAATGCTACCAGATCCTCTAGGCCCCAGCCTCCCCCTCCCCAGCTCATCCTCTCCTTGAACTCTAAGCTCCAGTCAGTGGAACAGTCCCTACATGATTTCTTGTACATCTGTGCCTTTGCCTGTGGACCACACTTCCTTTGCTTCTTCACCAGCATGAAGCTGCTTCATGCTAATTCCTACTCTCCACCAAACTCATCTCAGTTATCGACTCCTTCAAAAAGCCTTCCCTAACAACTTCTTACCCCCACACCAGCCCCAGTTTAGTGTATGCGCTCCTACTGTACCCTGCACACACTTCTGGCAGAGCATATCCTACTACCTCCTAGTTGTGTCACCGTGGTGAAATTACTTCATCTCTTTGAGTTTTCATTTACTCGTCTGTAAAATCAAGCGATTATTTGCATGTGGAGCACAAAGAAACCCCTAGCCCAGAGAGGGCACTCAACACAGGGCAGCTATCATTATTACTATCGGTATTCTGCACTAAAATTGTCTGTGTACTTTTCCTTCCTCTCCTAGACTTTGAGAATACAGACTGTACACAAGCATTCGACAAATATTTGTCAAATGAACAAAAGCAAGAGTAAATCCGTACAATTAAACAATTTCTCATAAGTAAAGGAGAATGAAAAGGCCCCAAAAGACTAACCATGAAGTTGCAGAATTTTCACATTGCTCTTACTCTACCAATGTTGCTAATACAGGACAACTGTAGAATGCTACCAGAGGCCTCCACAGCAACATAATGTAGCATATATTCCATTCTCTGAAGAGAGCAGATTTACCATGAAGACTACGAATGCTGTCTGACAAAAGAACAAGGCCTGAAGTCAGCGAGTGATGCGTTACCATGTGCGAGGCGCTGGCTCTGCACAGCGTTGGGACCATGCTCGTGTTCCGGGGGAGCAGGCAGGCCCACAATGAGATCGAGGTCGTCCAGCAGAACAACAGAAGGCTGCCTCCATGCCGCCTCTGAGAAAGCTGTCTCTAGGTTTTTTTGTATGTTTTCAAGCCTTTTTCCTTTATACAGAAGATAAGAAATGGTTTTAATGTTATTTCAGAGCTGGGAAAGTTTAGACTGCCCTTTTGAAAGCATTAGAAAACCTCAATATTGATTTAACTACGAAAATTCAATCCATATTTTGTTAATACACCAATCACAAAAATTTGTTAAAGATTAACATGGTTTAATTAACACAGCCTCAAAGGACTCAGTAAACTACTGAATTTTATAAAACTGGAAAAAGGAATATGCTACTATAATTTATGTATGTAGGTATTTATTTATACCTAGCATCATTCCATAGAGAATTTCAGATGGCTTACAACATAATAATAAAATAAAAGCAGGATGTGGGAAAATATAAATTAGAGTGGGGGGATCAGCCCAGTGGCATATGCAATTAAATTCACGTGCTCCACTTTGGTGGCCAGGGTTCACCGATCTGGATCCTTGGTGCAGACCTACTCACCGCTCATCAAGCCATGCTGAGGTGGCGTCCCACATAGAGTAACTAGAAGGATGTACCAACTATGACATACAACTATCTACTGGGGCTTTGGGGAGAAAAAAGGAAAAAAGGAGGAAGACTGGCAACAGATGTTAGCTCAGGGCCAATCTTCCTCAAAAAAAAAAAATGCATTTAAAAAAAAAGGAGAGTAGGGAATCAAAATTCAGATAAAATCAAACACAAATGTAGCTACCTAGAGATCCTAGAGTTGCTATATTTGAATCATAAATTTGGCTTTGAACTTTCTGATGAATTACAAAGCTTTAATTTTCAAACAATAGAAAACATACCAATCCACAAGCCAATGTAAAGAGTTCCTGTTACTTAGCTCTATAACAAAATATTCACCATGTGGCTTCAAGCAGAACTCTGAGAGATGGACAATGTCTCTAAAACCATCTTTACAGCCTATGAAGTAATGGGATTTCAAAGGCTATTTCTCAGTTGCTTATTGTATACTAGATTAAAAAAAACTGAGTACAAGGACTAGTTGGGACTATATGGTAGTGGAAGCTAAGGGAAAAGAAAATTAACTACTCAAAGTAAAATCTTTCCAATCTTTTTTTTTAATTGAATAGGTAATAATGCAAATGTTATTAAGACTTTTAAAAGTACCAAGTGTATATGGTAAACTGTAATTCTCCTCTTTGCTGTCCACAGCCACCCCCTTTCCCTCCCCTGAGCCAACCACTCTACCAAGTTCCCACAGCGATTCAGAGATAATTTATACCCATTAGAGTATATTCTAAATACTAAATTTCTCAGAGTGGTGTAAGTTGGCTTTTCCAGGAATATACTCTACAAAGAGCTTTGGCTAGGGAAAAAAAGGCCTCCATCAGATACAGAGAGTTTTAAAAATTTTATTAAAAACATTAGAAAGCCAAAGATTTAAAATTTCTAAGGAATTTCAATGACTAAACGACAGACAGAAAAGTTAAATAAAGATTAGATTAGTATTAGATTGTATTTATTAGAGTAACAGCATTAAATAATAACATTTCTGTCTTTCTACCAAAAAAGGGATTTATGTAGAGTGTTAACCACATTCATACCTCGTAAAGCTTTACAGTCAACTCTCTCCACGTGGGCATCCAATATGTCAAATGCTTCTTTACAGATTGCCTTGGCTAAAGTTGATTTTCCACTCCCCTAGAAAATAACTGCTTCATAAGAACTCTCAACATATTCATTCAAGAAATAACTCCTGTCACTGTGGCAACCAACAAGATTCAGCCTCATCAATCAAGTATATACTACACAATGTTATATATCAATTATATCTCAGTAAAGCTGGGGAAAAAAAACAAAAATCACATCCCTGGGAGTCTGGGACCAGATTATGCTGGGTGACATTCAGCATAAAGTAAATTAACAGGAAGGAGTGAAAACCTGGATTGAGGAAGTTGTAAGACAGCACTGCAGGATAAGCGGGAAAGAATTATTTGCTAAATACTCAAAGTCGAGCAAAGAAAAATACATAATGTTCTATGAAGAAACCAGAAGGCTCCAGCCTCCTAGCCTTAATGGCAGGATTCAAGTATTATATAAACACAGGCAAGGTTAACAGATGACAATACAATCTCAGGAATATAAACACCATAAAAAGAAGCATTTCTCCACTCCAGCTCCAACCTCAATTTGTACTAACACTAAAAATAACCAATTGCTTTGAGAAAGTTAAAAAAAAAGATAGCATATACCAGTTTAGTTGCTGTGTGAGATATGCAGGTGTTACCAAACTACAGTTTTTCTTTTAAGCTGCTAAGAGCTGGCTGTATCCTATGTTCATTATAGTACATAGATAGAAAATAAACATCTAATTTGTTTCATTTACAATTTGTTAGTTAAAACAATCACTACTACTTAAATCTTTTACCTTTAAAAACAGGTAATGTTTCATTATTTGTTACTAGAAGGAAATAATGTGAATATTAAATAATTTTTCTAGATAAATGAAATTTATTCCCATTTAATTTCAACTATTTTTAATGGAAAAAATTTATTACCCACTTCTCTATACCTTAAATTAATTGTAATTTTAATTCACAGTTTCTTGGTGATTTACAGTATTACTGTGATCACCTATTACTGTACAGTGTGGGCCTCAGAGACTATTAAGGTGAGTAGAACTGTCTACTTTTATATTACGTGACTCCAGACCACAAAGGGTTTTTGATCCAATGTGCACTTTCTGTTTTCAAGTAAAAGCTTTATTTTTTCCTGATTATAACATAATATGTAAAAAATACAAAATAATTATAAACACTTAGCAGAGAAAGGTAAAAAATCTTCTGTAATCACCCCACCTCACAGAAGTAACCACTGTCAAACATTTTGATGTATCATCCTTCCAGACACTCCACATACATTTTCTGTGAATTTATGAAGATGGGATTACAGTATTCATACAGGTTTACAATAAATCACTGTTCTTCTAATCAACATAGAGCTGCATCAGCTCCCTAGTACACCACCACTGTGGGGAGGTATTGGACCATAATATGCTTAGTAAGGCCCTTCCTAGTGTATATTTATGCTGCTTCCAATTTTTAACAACTATAAGTAAAGCTAAAATAAATATCCATATACATATAAGTTGACTTATTTGTCAGCTTATACCTTTAGGATAAATTTCTAGAAGTGGAATTACTACATCAAAAGGTATGCATATTTAAAATGAAAAAAAAAAGTATGTATATTTAAAATTTTGCTAAACATTGCCATAGTGCCCCATAGAAAGGCTGGACGTTGGTAGGTTTTTATAGTTCTTTTAATATAAGTTTCCTCCCTCAAGCTACTATTATTTCTTACCATTGTTCTTTAGTCTAGCTTAACAGCCCCGTACCAGTTCTAACATTTGTTTTTCATTACTGTGGACTGGAAAAACAGCCAAGCTTGTTGTGCAAAGTTTGAAATTTAGCAGGTATTCAACAAATACTACCATCATTATAGTTTACAGAATTGCATTTATGTTTAAAATCAATGGGCTCCAAAGAACAAAGAAATTAGGGGTGCTGGGGTATAGGCCCCGCTTGTCAGAATCATCTTGCATAGACAGAGGGCCTTTTCTCCTCACTCAAAGTAATTCACATTTGTATAGTACGTTTTAGTTTACAAAGCCCTTTCATATATATTATTTTCCTCAAGTGAGGTTAATCCTAAGAAGGCAGAAACTAACACTTAAACTGCGTGAGGTCACAGCCACTAAGGACAAGACAGAGGTGGGACTCAAATCCAGGTCTCCTGCTTTCTCTTTCTATTAACCATGACACCCCCAGGTAAGACTGTGGACATCTGGTTTCTGAGTCAGTAGGTCAGTGCTTTTTCAAAATAAATATTCTACCATGATGATGCATTTTGAAATTTCACATAGGTAATCTGGAAACCATATATAGTAGTTACTATATTTTACCAGCCTTGCATACCTGGGATAAATCCCACTTGATCACGGTGTATAATTCTTTTTATACATTGGTTGATTTGATTTACTAATATTTTGTTGAGGATTTTTGCATCTATGTTTGTGGGAGATATTGGGCTGTAGTTTTCTTTTCTTGTAATGTCTTTGTCTGGTTTTGGTATTAGGGTAATGCTGGCCTCATAGAATGAGTCAGGAAGTATTCCCTCTGCTTCTATTTCCCTCTGAAAGAGATTATACAGAACTGGTATAAATTTCTTCCTTAAGTGTTTGGTAGAACTCACCAGTGAACCCATCTGGGCCTAGTGCTTTCTGTTTTGGAAGGTTATTAATTATTGATTCAATTTCTTTAATAAATATAGGCCTTTTTATATTGTCTATTACTTCTTGTGTAAGTTTTGGCCGCTTGTGTCTTTCAAAGAATTGGTCCATTCATAAAGGTTATCAAATTTTGGACATATAGTTGTTTATTACTATTACCATTACCATTTTATTATCCTTTTAACGTCCATGCGATCTGTAGTGATGTCCCCCTCTTTCATCTCTGATACTAACAATTTGTGTCCTCTCTCTTTTTTTCTTAGTCTGCCTAGAGGCTTATCAATTTTATTGATCTTTGCAAAGAACCAGCTTTTGGTTTCATTGATTTTCTCTACTGATTTCCTGTTTTTAGGAAATTCTTATTAATTCTTACTATTTCTTTTATTCTGCTTCCACTGGATTTAATTTGCTCTTCTTTTTCTAGTTTCCTAAGGTGGAAACTTAGATTACTGGAGCAGTTACTATATTTTAAATAAGAATCAGAAGAAAGTATCTGAGCTGGTAATGAGAAAAAAAGTTATTATACTGAAGTTAAAAGTGAATGGAAATGAAAAAGCCTTAAAATTTTGAATTGAAAAAAAATCACAAAGACTCACAAAGACCACACTATACCCCTGGAAACAACACTGTGTTGGTAGAGAATAAAACCGTAAGCTCTTTAAAAGGGCAGGGGATCTTTAGCAAGATTGACAAAGATTGTTTTAAAAACAGAGAAGACACAAATCAGCAATATCAGGAAACAGGACATTACAACAGATTCTACAGCCATTAAAAGGATAATAAAAGAATACTACAAACAACTTTATGCTCATAAATTCAACAACTTAGAAGAAATGGACCAATTCCTCAAAAACTACAAACTACCTAATGTCTGCCAAGATGAAATAGACAATTAAGGAAATTGAATTTATAATTAAAAAGTTAACAGTAAACAAATCTCCAGGCACAGATGGTTTCATTAGAGATTTTACCAAACATTTAAAGAAGAATGAACACTAATTTTACACAGTCTCTTTCAGAAAACAGAACAGGAGGGAATACTTCTCAACTCATTTTATGAGGCTAGTATTACCCTGATAGCAAAACCAGACAAAGACAGTACAAAAACAGAAAACTACAGGCTAACATCTCTCATGAACTTAGATGCAAAAATCCTCAACAGATATTAGCAAACAGAGCACAGTTTTATAGAACGTATTCTATACACCACAACCAAGTGAGATTTATTACAGATACGCAGAGGCTGGTTCAACATGTGAAAATCAATCAACCCTATCAACACTCTGAAAAAGAAAAATCATACAATCATATCAATTGTTACAGAAAAAGGGCAGGGAAGGCATCACCTTATGTATCTTATCACCACTTTCTCAATATCTAATAGCAGGCACTCAAAAATATTAGTGAATGAATGAAGGAATGCTTTCCACATCTCGTGTTAACAACCCTCTATAACAGATGATCAAAACCCAGAGAGAGAGGAATTAAAAGTTATTAGTTAGTGAATGAGCACATTTTAACCACACACCTTTCCTCCTGTGAGTAAAACGGCTCCATTCCTAAGTCCTGCCACAAGGGACATCAATTGCCGAGACAAAGGGCGTCCCAGGAGGCTATGAGTGATGTGCTCCATGGAGGATACGCCTAAGGAATTCACTCCTCTGCAAAATACATAAATTGTTGCATGATAAAACACTGAAGCAGGATAAAATCTAGCTATAAAAAATTCTGAAACGTTCCCTCCCAGGCTAATTAATCACTTTTAAAAGAGAAAAATCTTAGAAATTCTCCCTTGTGCTTTAAATAATTGAATTATTAAATTAATGCCAAATCTGAGTCACAGCTTTTAAAACTAGTTTTATTACTTTCAAACATATGCAGTAACTAAAAGTTTTGTTCTAATAGGATTCCTCAAGGAATTTGTCTTAACACACACAAACACCCCCCTTAAAATGATTTTTGGTTTGGTAATCAACATGATCATAAATGGGTGCTTTTGAAGTGCTGGGATAATTGAAGACTTATTTCCTCTTAAACATCACCTCTGAGATCCACATTTCAATCTGTAGATTATACAAACATGAACTTCAACCTACTTCTTGACTCTGACTGCCACTTTATTTCTGATAAATATTATTAATTCCTAAAATCAGAGTCTGAACTAAAGAGATTTTACTTTATACATCAATATTATGCTATATTTAAACATTGTTACTTTATGGTTTAATCCTTTTACTAAAATATTTATAGATGATACTATTACAGGAAATCAAACCACTACTACTACATCTATTAAAAGCCTCTGTGAAGAATTCTAAGAGGTAATGTTTATATGAGATTCTCATATTGTATAAAGATAAAGAAATTAAGAGGAGTTTCTTTTCAGATTTGTTTGTTTTAAAAGTTGAGGAAAACACAAACAATCCCAATTAGTACATTAATAATATAGTGAAGGAATAACTTAATTTGAAATATTTTTAAACATTCATCTAATGTTTCTGGATTTAATTTTTAAAATAAATGTATTAGCTCTAAGAAGTATTGTTTTATTCAAGCACGTATGATCCAGGTCATATCTAGTTACTTTCTTCTCACAAATCAAATCTCAAAGTAAAATTTCTAATAAGCTTCAGACTTTTCAGTTATCTAAGAAGACCAGGCAAATTACTAAGCTAGGTGTGAAAACAGAAGCAATCCTTGAAAAAATATCTACTAATGCATTAGTAAGAGTATTCAATGACATGAACATCTACTTTAACATTTACACATAAAAACCCTGCCAGAGATAATGTCAAACATGTCTCTAAACATGCTAGTTTGGCCGTAACTTCTTACCCCAAGCAGTTCAGCTTTAAAAAAGGAAGAATAAAGTCAATTTCCTCACTGTTTTCTTCTTTTACCATAGGATCTAGAAGGACCTAGAGTAGCAAGGAAAAATCAGTTTTACATTTCCAAGTTACATCTTTTGCCTGTTTTCCTAGGGTCCCAGGAAACCAAACTGCTGATTCTGTTATAGCAGAAAGAAAAGATATATTGTGCATGCAAGATCATTACTTAAAACAGCCTTGACAATAATAATTTACCCATCCAAGGAACATAAATATTTACGGTGAACAAGCAGTAAAGAACGTCATCTCCTTAATACATTTTATAGATATATCTTTATTTGCAATTTTGATTTGTGTCACATTTATTTTTTTCACAATTCCTACATTTGTATCTTTTCTGAACGGTATTCCTTCAATTATATTTCAAAAGTAGAGAAACGATGTCTAGTTCCAAATCACTGAAATTTTAAGTGACTAGAGCATCCTTAATTCTATGAGGACAAGAGTGAATATCCTAACTAAAACACAACATTCTAAAAAGGCCACTTTTAAAATACTTCTGGAAGAAAAGTGATCTGAAAAGTAATTTTTTGAAGAGCTGAGAATTTAAGAATTGCCAAAATAATACGGGTTGTGCAGCAAAACTTCAAGTAAAAACATGAATTTTAAAAATCAAACCCTGGGGCTGGCCTCGTGGCATAGCGGTTAAGTGCGTGCACTCCGCTGCTGGCGACCCAGGTTCATATCCCAGGCACACACCGACACACCGCTTGTCAGGCCATGCTGAGGCGGCGTCCCACATAAAGTGGAGGAAGAACGGCACAGATGTTAGCTCAGGGCCAGTCTTCCTCAGCAAAAAGAGGAAAAATCAAACCCCTAGAGCTAAGTTTTCCTTCGTTTCAATACTAGAAGAATTTTAAATAATGATCATTTGCCGGTTAACACAATCAATTCTATTCTTGAAACTTAATTATGCTGAGGTATTCATTTTAAATATAGGATAAATCAATAATTTGTTTAGATAAGTTAAAGAGATTATAGAATAAAATATTTTAAATTAAGTTATTCCTTACTCTTATCATCCGAGTTTCTAATACACTTCAAGATGCAAGGTCTTACAGGTAAATTCACACTCTGTTATCAATCACATGTGACAATTGAATACTATGTGACAATTCAATAATACACATGTGACAATTCAATAATATTACTTGTATTGTGGTCTTCTGCAGCAGATTAGTACTCAACAGAAAAATATTTTTTTCTCTTTCTTTTTCCCAGGGATGAACTATATTTAGAGAAAATTCCTTCAACCCTATTGAAAAGAAAGCAATAAATGTAGAGTTAGTACTGAAGCTGAGATGAAATAATTTATCATTTTAAATTTCAAATTTATGTAAATTTAAATAAAGGCATTCTTTGATATGTAAAATCTACTATTTATTTATAATTATGTTTCCTATTCACATATGTCACAAGTTGGAAAAAAGACTAAAAATTTTATGACTTCTTCAACAGGAAAAATAACAAAATAAAATTTACCCACCATCTTTAATTTGCAGCTTAATATATTCTTCCTCTGATACTACCAAAGGAAGTGTGGTAGTAGTAGACCGCTGTAGCCATGAATAGAACACAGTTTTTATGTCTTCTTCACTTATGTCTTTAGGCTACCAGAGAAAAGGAAAGAACAGCAGTGACCTAAGGATTTAGGTATTAGGATAATACCTTATTTTAACACCTTATCCTGCTAATAAAATGTAAATCTTATTACAAAACCAGGAAGGATGTTCATACTCTACAGGCACAGATTTGGGATTTGACATTACAGTACAACGAGTACAATGTAGCCTGAAGAAATATTTACACAAGTGGCAAAGTTTTAAATGCTCCTTTTCTCTATGCCCAGTGATACATGTACCATAATTTGGCTCACTCGATAACGATTCCAACCCCATTCTCCTGCCTCCTTCTACTACAGAAGTGGGAAACGAAACTCCTTGATTCCCAGCTTGCAGCTGTGTGTACGTGTGTGTGTGTGTGTGTGTGTGTGTGTGTGTGTGTACGTGCTTGCATGTGCACAAACACAGATAACTGAACTCTGGCCAGTGGTGTACCATCAGCAATCCTTGGGAAGGATTTCTCTTCCTAATTAAACAAATCTTGCAAGGAGAAGGCTTCTGCTATGTGCCTTCCCCTCTGCTGCCAAGAATGCAGACGTGATGCCTATTAGTACAGCAGATATCTCGCATCTAAGAGGAGGAAAGTCACAGCCTAAGGATGGCGGAAGAGAAGGACCAAAGGAGACAAGAGCCTTGATGACAAGTTTTAACCACCTATGAGCTCCTCCAAACTTCTTCATACATGAGAAAAATAAACTCTTTATATGTTCAAGTCACTTTCTTTTCTTTTTTTTCTGTTAAGCTGGCCACAGTGCTGATTTACTCGATAACTAGGGGGTTAATAAATTGTTCAAGAAGTATGAAGAGGGCCAGCCCCGTGGCTTAGCGGTTAAGTGTGCGCTCTCCGCTACTGGCGGCCCGGGTTCGGATCCCGGGCGTGCACTGACACACCACTTCTCCAGCCATGCTGAGGCCGCATCCCACATACAGCAACTAGAAGGATGTGCAACTATGACATACAACTATCTACTGGGGCTTTGGGGAATTAAAAAAAAAAAGGAGGAGGATAGGCAATAGATGTTAGCTCAGAGCTGGTCTTCCTCAGCAAAAAGAGGAGGATTAGCAAGGATGTTAGCTCAGGGCTGATCTTCCTCACAAAAAAACAAAAAAGAAGTATGAAGAAATTCTGAGAAAAACATTGCTAATTTTTAAAGCTTTTAAATTAAGTTTTTAAAGCCTATTTGAAATTAAAAACGGGAATAACAAAAATTCTATAGAAAGATGATTAATATCTGCCTAGGAAAATAAATTTCTATTCTACCATTTCTTGACTGGCCGATTTCTGTTATCTCTCTTCATCCAGAAGTCAAGTTTAGATCTGTTGATTAGCTCTGTTCCGAACTTGATCATCACCAAAAGCAGGCTAACTTAAGAAACGACATCACTTTCCCATTCTTAAAAATCACAGAAATAGTCAATTACTTCTTTGGATATTATTGGGCAATGGGATGAAAGACCTAAAGGCAGTCATAAAATGAAAATGAAAACTATTTAAAATCAAGACTTTCAGAATCAGAAAGCAACTCACAGTTCCTTTAGAATCAAACATCCTTCTGTCCTAAGTGATATAATCAGCCCAGAGAGCCCTGCCAAAGTCATAAAGCTTCCACTAAAATATGCAACTCGGGACAGGAAAGGAATTCTGTAGTAACATCCCATTACAGAGAGTGAAGAAAAAAATCTAATGACTAGTGGCTAATTATTTTTGTACATGAGATCTAACTTTTGAAAATACCAAGATCAATAACCAAAAAGTTAAAACAAAACTACAAATCACTGTGACTATTCAGCCAATGCATTAAATGCTCAGTTATATACCGTTATGGAAATCATATTTATTCTATTTGTTTTCCTCACATAATATAATCTGTCTTATCTGGGTTTTCATCAACTAGAAAGTTTAAAATGGTTCTTCCATGACATAATAACCATCATGATCCTGAGGAACCAAAAGTACCACCTGAATTATCAGAGAAGGATTAAATCATGTTTGCAATTTCTTAAACATATAATATAATAATTTTCATGTATTATAATTCTCTGAGAACTGGTAACCTAAACTGGTACAGATAATAATACTCCATCAAAAAGATTTTAAAATTAAGTTCAATAACTCATTTCCTGACCACACCAGTTTCTAAAGAATTAACAGAGTAGACAAGTAAAACAGTCTAGCACTCTTTTAGGCTGTAATTAATACCAAAACAACATAGGAGAAATTTTTTAAAATTATACGGATGTAGCCAAAATATCAATCTTTTAAAAGCCAAATTATCCATATTTGCTTGGTACAATATACATAATATGTGTATCGCTTATTAAAGACTTCTTGATTTCTCAAAAAGTTAAACATTAGAATTACCATATGACCCAGCAATTCAACTCCCAGGTATAGACCCAAAAGAACCGAAAGCAGAGACTTAAAACAGATACTTGTACACCTACATCCATAGCAGCATTATTCACATTGGCCAAACAGGTGGAAACAACCCAAGTGTCCACCAACAGATGAATGGATAAACAAAATGTGGTATATACATACAATGGAATATTATTTAGGCATAAATAGGAATGAAGTTCTCACACATGCTACAATATAAATGAACGTTAAAAACATGTTAAATGAAATAAGCCAGGTACAAAGGACAAATATTGTATGATTCCACTTATATGAAATACCTAGAATAAGCAAACTCACAGAGACAGAATATAGTGTAGAGGTTACCAGGAGCTAGGGGAGGAGGGGATGGGAAGTTATTGCTTAATGGGCACAGAGTTTCTGTTTGGGGTGATGGAAAAGTTTTGGAAATAGATAGTGATGATGGTTGCCTAACATTATGAATGTAATTAATGCCACTGAATTGTACACATAAAAATGGTTAAAAAAGCATTTTATGTTATATATATTTTACCAGAATAAAATAAAAAGGAAAAAAAAGACCTCTTTCACTTTCTAGCAAAACAGAGTATGAACACTCTTATCACTTAGCTAAAGCAACTAGAAATTTCACTACCCATGAAAAACAATTGTGACATAACATAAAACTGAACTCACTAAATTTTCTCGAGGTTGTAATTTTAGAGATCTTGGAATTTTAGGAGTAATTTCCACTGGAGTTATTCTGACTACTGCATGCATTTCTATATTTAGTCTCTTTCTCAGGTCATCTGGAATCTGAAATTTAAAAATAAACAAAAATATAAATATATTCAAAGCTTGATTAAAAATATTCCATACCATAAATATTAACTTCTATGAATTCAAGTGCAATTATAGAAGCTATCACGATTCACAGGTTCAGGCATTGTTATTGTCACAAACATTTCAATTTTTCCCCTACATTTCTTTCTTCGTATATCTTCTTCATAATCTGATCAATTTTGATCTCTCACGTCAGGTCTGTTTGAGTACCTCATGGCAACTGCTGCCAGTACTGCCACTCCCCATTGCCCATGGCGCCCAACCTTTACGGTCAAGTGGGAAGTGCAGGCTCCTCACTGCTGTCTTAATGGTCCCCAGGACTTGACCATCAGCACTTCTTCACCCCATCCCCACCGTACAATTTCAAGGACATAAAAAGGTATTCCCCCCTAATGGTAGAACCATTAATAGAAACAGATAAATCATAACAAGTTCAGCTCAGACATTTCGATTTTGAAGATGTAGCGGGATCTCCTAAACTAAGAGTTTAGAGGTAACAGAAAATAATGAGCGAATGGCCAGAGTTTTAGAAAATGATGTAAGCCAATGAGATTAAAACTTTGTAAGTTGCCTGGATAAAGGTCACAAATAAAACTGTGGGAGTAAAAGAAATCTACAAAGGAGACCCCCCTTCCCTTCCTATTTTTCTTCCCTTTCCTCACAATTTCCTCCCTTTATCACCACAAAGTCTCATTTCTATATGGTTAAAAATTAAGTTCAGGGGCCGGCCCCATGGCTTAGCGGTTAAGTGCGCACGCTCCGCTACTGGCAGCCCAGGTTCGGATCCCGGGTGTGCACCGACGCACTGCTTGTCCGGCCATGCTGAGGCGGTGTCCCACATACAGCAACTAGAAGGATGTGCAACTATGACATACAACTATCTACTGGGGCTTTGGGGAGAAAAAGGGAAAAAAAGCAGGAGGACTGGCAATAGATGTTAGCTCAGGGCTGGTCTTCCTCAGCAAAAAAAAAAAAAAAAAAAGAGGAGGATTGGCATGGATGTTAGCTTAGGGCTGATCTTCCTCACAAAAAAAAAAATTAAGTTCAAATCAAAGGGGCTGGTGACTCATTTCACATAAAATTCAGCATTAACATTTGAGGCCAAGATGAGAAGGTGGAACACTAGTTGCTCTACTTCCTCTCCCAGTTCCACACAAGTTAAAGAGCTGACACCAGTAGGCTAAGCACCTTCTGGGGACACATCAATCCAGGAGCCATCACAGGCAGGAAGGTCATCTCACACCATGGGTTTCTCCCTACACTGGGCATTTTCCCAAATACATAACAAGTCCTTCCTTTGCTTTCAAGAACTTGGGAACAAATCTTCAGCAGGTATTAAAAATGTGAGGCTTAGCCTGGCCCGGTGGCACAGTGGTTAAGTTCAGCGCGCTCCACTTTGGTGCCCTGGATTCACAGGTTCGGATCCCAGGCACAGACCTACACCACTCATCAAGCCATAACATGGTGGCAACCAACATCCAAAATAGAGGAAGATGGGCACAGACGTGAGTTCAGGGCCAATCTTCCTCAAGCAAAAAAAAAAATGTGAGGCTCTGTAGGACACTCCATGCTAAGCGTGAATTCTGGAGTCAGTCTGCCTGGGTTTGAATCCTAGTTCTATTTACTAGCTATGTAACCTCAGGCAAGTAATTGTGACCTCTCTGGGCCTGTACCTGTCTAAGCTTATACGTGTCCAAGTGTACTTAGCCAGAAAATACACAATCTCTACCCAAATAAGGACTTCACCCTGCAATCAGAAATTTGTCCCGGCAGGAACTTGAGACACTATTTCTTATTATACTGGTTTTCAAATTATATATATTATTCTAATTCATAATTTGAGGAAGTTCAAGCAACATAAAATTATTTCCTCCATAATTATGAAATTTATACTAACCCAGACTTTCCCAAGATGGAGAGCGTCTACATTTTTGGCATATTTCATGGCATTCTTCAATTCCTCAAGTCCATTCCAGACTATCTGTAGCACACAGGCTTTACCAGCTTCTTGAGTATGGTCTGAGCTAATTTGCTTTTGATCTAGTGCTTCTGACACCTGCTTCTCTCTTTCAGGTGACAGGACATTTTGCTTTGTTTTACTTTGCTGTTGTTTTGGAGAAAGTAGCTTAACTAGCTTTCCATAGGTCACAGTAAAGCTGGGTTCCAGATCAAAATATTCCTGGTCCCATGGAAATACATGAATGGCATAGTGTTTGTGAAACACAGAAGTTGCCGATGCGTTACATATACTGGGAGGCTGCGATTTGCATACTCTGAAAATATTGTCTAGAGGAACAAGTTTTGACTGCATATTTTTGAATGCATTGATTTCAGTTAAACCCCAGGATGTCTCTTGTTTCTTCTCAGACCCAAATGAAAATATACTTCCTATCATAGTCCATAAGCTTGGTGTTGATGACGAATCAACTGTAACCTCTGAATCCGTTTCATTAGACCCAGTGACTCCTATAGTATTTGATTGAAGTTGCTTGGTTTGAAGTTCTTCTGTCAATTCTTTTTGGTCTCTTCCATAATTATGAAATTTTCCACGTGCATTATCTGCTTTTGAAAATGTATCCTCTTTGGCTTGGCGAGTCTTTGGCTGAATAACGAGTTCAGTGTCAGTTTCCAGCCTTCCATAAGTAGCAGTTGGTATTAGTGCAACTGTGTAGGAAATAAAGCTCATTAGTGCACGTTCACCTCTACTATGGACGCAGTGCTGTGGTGCAGAGGGTCACGGCAAACACTGTAATAGCACCTACCAACTTGGAGAAATATGTAAGTTTGCTGATCAACCCAAACAGGAAAAATGGCTTTTGGAAAAACTATTCGAATTTGATCTAGAAGATGCTGTTCAAGCAAAGCAGCATGCAGCTCCTAGAAGCAACAAACAAAAAGATCAATTCACTTTACATTTTGTCTGTTCTATGTCTAGTAAGAAAATCTTGATCCATTCTTATTACTCAAACCAACTCAGAATATATAATGAAGCTCAAAAAAAGAAATCTAAAGACACTGATATTTTGAAGTAGTGTAAGCTTAAAATGGGATAGTTCTCGTTTTGTTTTCTTTACCAGTATCTCCCAATCATCTGCGGAGACGGGTTCCACCTCAACTTGTTGACAAGACACCACATGGGAACATGGCTTGAGAAACACCTGAAAAAAATTTAAAATGTAAAACTCTTTTAAAAGACTTTTTCATATCCCTAGAAAATAAGAAGTTCTCTCTTTAGGTAACTAATTGCACGTGCGTGTGTGTGCATGGGTGTACTGTGTCATCCTTCATTAGACAAATATTTACTAAGCACTTATTCTTAGCTAGGCCTTGATATACTCAAGATTTTAGGAAAAATTGTTTCACAACTAATTATAGAATAAAGGAAAATATATCCAAGCACAACACATGTTTTTAAAAAAATAAAACAGATAACCATTAACAAAAGAAATGTAATAAAAAATGGAAGAAGAAACACCAACGTCATCAAGTCATGGCTTGATCTAGTATACACATACTCAATTATTTCTAGAAGTTTTGCAACTGTTCATTTTATAACTAACTTCAAGCCATGCTGCTTCTAGAAAAGTAAAAAACACATTGAAATAAAAATCAGAGCCAATTATTTACAATTATTTAGAAGTATAATCACGAGCAGCTAAAAAGTAAAGTAAAACAAGTATCTCCTCTTCCAGTCTATGGATATATATGAAATGCTAGTGTGTCTCAAGAAGCTGGAATCCACCATCTTACTTTCTTTCCCCTTCTACAGGCATTTCTGGGGATTAGAGGTACAATCCAGGTAACCGGCCCTTCCTTCTCTGCTTTTGTGGATTGGAGCAGAAGTTCCCCAAGTGCCTCTCTCGACTCCTCCATGAATTTCCCTTCAGTACCTCCTGTATACCCATTTTGAAAGGGGTGATTCTGAGGACGCACAAAGCAGCTCCTGCCCACCAAGAAGCTAGAGTCATGGGCGAGTCAGTCTACTTTCTGTTCCTATCGATGATTCTTTGGGAGACAGTCCCTTAGTGGTATCGTTACAATACAGAGGATCTGCAGAAAATCAGGTAAAAGATCACTTTGAAGCAAAGGGGAATTAAAAGCAAGTAGGACTGTGCAAAGTGCTGATGAAAACATCAAGATCAGGAATAGGAAGCCGATGTTTCCCACAGGGAAGTGCCACATACTCAAAGAGAGCAGAACTGTAACTTGCTATGCAATCCTGGGGAAAACACTCCATTGCCCTAGGTTTGTAAAGCAAGGCACCCAAGTTAGGGATTTTGAAGGTCACTCTGGTGCTAAAGTTTTAAGATTCTAGGAAAAATTTAGGGTAAGCAAAGGACTAGTGCTAGGCCTATGAATTTCTCATCAGTGGTGTATTCTCATTATCAAAAGCATTCATGAACAAAATCAGTCTGTGTTCAAAACAAGTTAAAAAGATGTGACAACTCTTGTGTACTGTTGTGGGAAACTGGTAATAGAAGGCAATTTAGCTCCAATTATCAAATTTTTAAATGTGCAGCCCTCTGGCCTTGGCAATTAAATTTTTAATATTCCATTCCATGTATACATACTCACAGAGATGTTCAGTTGTTTGTAATATGTGGAAAGGCATCTCTGATACAGTTTGTGGGGAAAAAATTGCAGAAAATATGTATGATCTCATTCCTTAAATGTAAAGGTCTAGTGAGATCCCAACATACAGTACACACTCATTCTGAGGCTGGGGTTAGAGAAAGGGAAAAACATTTTTTACTATCAATTGTAGAATATTTGTAATGACTACGTATTACTTCTGTAGTTCAAAATATTTAAAAAGGAATAAATTGGTGAATATAATAAAATGGCAAAACAGATGAGTCCTTAAGCTTTGGAGTTTGCAATCTAAGCACACTAAATTTATAGGCAAGACAAAAATGGTAAAATAATAACCCTCTTTTGTAGGATAGATTTTTAAAAATCAATTATGACCCTTCAAAGTTAGAAAACTTGTCATAAACAAATGAAATGAAGTTCAATAATAGTAGATAAAATTCAGTAATTCATAAAGCAAAAATAATTGCACAAAAACAAAATTAGGGAACCTGAAAAGTGAGTGAAATAGACAGTGAGATACAAAATCAACTAGGGAGCATGGTGGACTACAAGATAATGACTCAACAATGCAGTACATAGTCGACTTGAATATCCTGGACTGGTTATAGTAGCACGCAAGTTAGGTATCATCTCACCCCCTAAAAAAAAATAAATCTGAACTTTCCATTTTATTTCCATGGCTATATTATGTGACATCAGATGAAAGTCATTGTCATCACATTTTGTGCTTACCTGTTCTCCATTTGCGAGTCCAAGTTTCTGACCAACTTGTCTGTTAATTTCAGCCACATGTTCACCTTGATCACTGAAATGCCTGCCTTCCACCCAACTCAAGAATGCAGGCTGGTGACCCCAGGCTACTTCTATAGCTTGATTCTATTTATTCAAGAGATAAGAAAGGGGGGGTATATAAAAGTTTTTACATGCTTTTCTTGATTCACATAAAAGACAAACTATCATTGCAATTAACACATACAAAAAGAGTTCTATAGGTAGTTGATAGCTCTGTTATCCACATTTGTCATAGCATTTAAAAAGCTATAACCATTTCCAACACCCAATGCTGGTGATGCTATGGGTGAAACCAATACCCTTATAGTCTCATGATGGCATTATAAATTGATTCAACCATTCCAGAATTCTGAATGGCAAATAGGTAGCCAATGAACTTACATAGCCCTTGAGCCATATATATGTGTGTGTGTATATATACATATACACACACACATATATTTATTTATTCTGAATTAATGACTCAAAGAAGAAAAAATTACACCAGAACATTTCTCTGCAGTATTTTCTATAATAGTGAAAGCTTAGGAGTCTCTTAAATGTCTATCAATAGGGAAATTATTAAATAAGCTATAAATTTACTATTTTAGTAAAGTTTGGCTCAGTAAGTAGAAACATATCATGATCATTAAAAATGTAAAAGTATTTATTAGAAGAGTAATAAATGCACAAGGTAAAATCACAAAAAGTACAAAAGCATAAAACTTGAAGGCAGGTCCCTGTTCCCAGCGGCAATTACTGTTAATAGCTTCTCATGTACTCTTCTAGAAATTTTATATTATGCAGCTTCTTAAATCATTTAAAAAGTTCTAGAACTATGGAAACATTTATAAGTAAAAAAAGCAAAATATAAAATCTATTCACATTAAGAGCAATTATATAAAATATGTAAGTTTGTGGCTAAGCACTAAAAAACAATGTTTTCTTTGATTAGAGAATTACAAACTCAGGGCTGGCCCCATGGCATAGCGGTTAAGTATGCTTGCTCCACTGCTGGCAGCCCGGGGTTCAGATCCCAGGAGTACATTGACGCACCGCTTGGTAAACCATGCTGTGGCGGCGTCCCATATAAAGTGGAGGAAGATGGGCACGGATGTTAGCCCAGGGCCAGTCTTCCTCAGCAAAAAGAGGAGGATTGGCATGGATGTGAGCTCAGGGCTGATCTTCCTCACAAAAAAAAAAAAAAAAAGAATTACAAACTCATAGAAACCTTGGAAAATATATAAACTTGGAAGGACAAAAGGAATTACTGATATTCCCTCCACGAAAAGACAACCAAGTGAACAATTTTGTCTATTTCCAGCTAATCCTTTTTTCTACATGAAAGTTAGTTTTTTACATAGTTGTGTATTATAGTCATGATTTAGTATCCTTTTCACCCACTTAACCTTGTATCATAAGCATTTTCACACATATATCATTTTTTAAAATAAAATGTAAAGATTTCATTAATAGCTATCAAGACTTACCATCTCAGCAAGTTTTATTATTATTAAATTCATTTATTTATATTAAAATAAATTCATTAAGTTTAAATGATTAAATTGATTCATTTACATCAAATTTTACTACCTCAAAACTGGTTAAAGGCTGCTTATTGTGTTTCTTTAAACAGGACAAATTTCAAAGGATGTTGGAGCCACTTCTGAGGTGATATAATGGACTTTAAATTAACCATGTTATTAAAATGATATTAAAACTTTGTATACAAGAAAGTCATCATGTATCACTTAGTTGTGTAATTTTTCTCACAGTTCTTCACAGGATAGTCCAACTGCTCTGGCTGACAAAATCTTTCCACTGAGAACAGTGTGATACAGCAGAAAGAGCCCTAGGTTTGCAGCCAAAAGTCCTAAGTTACTATGTCAGCTATAACAGTGTGAGCTGAGGTCACAAGAGTGAAGGCGACCAACCCTCCAGGTGCTTTCCAAGGGGCTTCCTCAGAGTCAGTGATGTCTAATCCAGATCAACTCAGGTCATACGAAGAAACATTTAAAACCAGAGGTTAAATAAAGAAATATGAAATACACTCTGAAATATCAAAAAAGAGAATTCCACCAACACACTGGAGAAAGGAAAAATCAACTTTATTAAACAGGAAAAATACTTCAATTATTCATTTGGTCAAAATGTAGTAACCAGCTCCATCAAGTCATAACACATGTTTAGTGGGATTTAGTAAACTTTGCAGACTAATGTCCTCAGTCCATTTTTATGTCAACAATTTTTCACTTGAACCACAGAGCCCCTGGGCACTCAGGTAGAGAGGAGGCACAAACAGACTGGAGAGAGAGGAGTCTCTTTTCCAGGAGATTAATCAACAAATGATTGACTGCCCGCTTTTGCCCGAACCTGTGTGTAGGGCTTTGCCTGCTCAGCAATAACCTACGTGCCCTATTACAATCCTGTGTCCTCCTGGCCCCATCCTGGGCAGGACGCCAACCAGCTGGGATGGCCTGGCCAACCCAGATCTCACTCAAAGAACATCATGTCTTGAAGGAACACAGAGCCCTTCCACGTGAGCTGCTGTTCCAGGGAACGCTGGCTGCACCAAGGGCAGTCTCTCTTGGCAAGCACATAGACTTTGTCCCCTGCCTATATAAACAACCCCTCTCTGCCCACAGTAGCAGGTGCACAACTCTGTCCAGCCAGCTGCCCCTGGACACTCCCTAAACATAAGTCCCAATAAACCTATATGTCTCGTACGCCGTCTCCAGGTCTTTTCTCTGGTCTCTTCACTACCTATTTCACACTCCTTGCACAACTGGGTGTGTGGCCAGACACTGTGGTACCTGGCCAGGTCTGAGGCCTGGGTTGTCTCTTGCTAACACAAAGGAAATGACAAATCTATACCCGGCCATTTCTGGATGGCGATTTAGGTTATTTGTTTGCATTCAGCGTGGATACAAATCCTCTCCCCCATTAGCAATTAGAGCAAGCAGTGAGCCCAGAGTATAGACAAAGTAACCGACCTAAGGCAGTGGTTCTCAACTGAGGGTGATTTTGATCCCCAGGAGACATTTAGCAATGTCTGGAGATATTTTTGGTTGTCACTACTGGGCAGAGGGGTGCTACTGGCATCTAGTGGACAGAGGTCAAGGATGCTGCTAATTATCTTACAATACCCAGGACAGGCCCCCACAACAAAAAATTATCCAGCCTAAAATGTCAACCGTGCCAAAGTGACGAAATCCTGAGTTAAAGGATCTACTGCGTACCTAATCCTGAAACAAAGGCTTGGATAAACAAAAGAAGACAATACTTGAAACACAGAACAGAGTGTAACAAGTGAGATGTGTCACATAAACAGCACTGAAGTTTTGAAAAGGAGACAAATGTGGGCAAGAGAGAATCTGAAAGCTATGTGGAGGAGGTAGGATTACGCTCAGTTTTTAACAGCATGGAATAAGGAAAAATGTTTCGGGGAAGAATAGTGTGAGTAAGAGTACAGAAGTGGAAGAGAGCTGGGTGAGAAGTGAGAAGGTTAGTCTGAATGACACAGAGTGAGTTCTAGACAAGATGGCAAATTAACAGCATGCAAATGGTACCAGCCTGAGAGTGCCAGTTTCCTTATGTGTACAGAAATGACCTAGACACCTAAGGTCCCTTTCATCACCAACATCTATGATTCTAGAAGAGTGAGTCTCAACTCTTTTGTGCATCCAAGTAGCCTGAAGATATTTTAAAAATTACAGATGCCTGAAGCCCACTTCCCAAGATTCTGATTCAGTAGGTCTACAGAAGGGCCAGAATATCTGTATTTTTCAAAGCTTCAAGGTAAGTCTCACACAGGCCAGAAAACCATTGTTCTGACCCTCTTACCATTACAGCACTATGTGTATTATGTACTCAATACTTTAGCCCAAATAATTCAACCTAACTCCCAACTCATGACTTTCTGCTTTAATAATTATCTATGCCCTCTAAACCAATAATTCTGAGAACCTAAATAACCAGAAGTGAAAACAATGTTTTATAAACAAAGATATGCTATTTTTAACTTTTTATTTACTTATTTATTTCTTTTGGTGAGGAAGATTGTCTCTGCAGTAACATCCGTGCCAATCTTCCTCTACTTTGTATGTGGGACGCCACCACAGCATGGCTTGATGAGCAGCATGTAGGTCTGCACCCAGGATCCGAACCCATGAACCGCGGGCCTCCGAAGCAGAGCATGCAAACTTAACCACTACACCACCAGCCAGCCCTATTTTTAACTTTTTATTAAAATGTAACTACAGTATCACTTTTAATGTCTAAAAATTGAATACAACATATATGTTTAATCACAGTGAACAATTCAATAAATTATGGCAAACTGATGATAGAATACTAATTAACCACTAAAAATGATGATTACCTTTAACTGTATATGTGTGTGTGTGTAGGACTTCATTTCGTTAAAAACAAAGATTAGAAACAAAACTGGAAGATGTGGCCCAAACTGTTAATATTAGTTACCTCTAGGTTTGGGAATTATGGGTAACTTTTATTTTCTTGTTTATAATTTTCTTTGCTTTCTAAATTTTCTATAAAACATATGTATTAATTTTATAATTGGGGAGAAAAGTTGGCCTATTCTGCTGATGTAGGCTGGACAGAAAAAACAATTCATTCCAAGGCTGAAAAGATTTAAGTTTCAAAAGAGATCCATGAATTAATTCTTATGAATAACTACTAAAGGGTCAAAATTTAAAAGAAAGATCAAGACCACTAAATTCTTAAATAGTGATGAATGTAACAGAGCATCCACATCTTAAGATCAAGTTATTAGAGTTGCTGTAAAGAAGTATTCCTATAAACTCATTAGGTGGGGAGTCTATTCCTATAAACTGGTTAGGTGGGGATTTGAAGGCATGTTGAAAATCTCCATGAAAGCCGAGAGCACAGGGCAGGGTCCACCTGAGACTTGCTGCCACTAACTAACTCGTTTCCAGCCATGAAGGAAGCTCGTCAGGGCCAAAAGATTGTCTACTTTATGGTAAAAGAAATAACGGAAGGATCTGCTGAATTTGGTATGCTCTAAAAGGGGGGAGGGGGGGCGCAATAATCTAGAAAAATAGTTATGGGGAAGTAGCTAACGTGGAAAGGTTGGATACTTGAAATTACTGCAAACTCTTAAGTATTTCCTGCATGGATTAGCCAGTGGTGGATACCATGCATCCAGGATTTCCGAGGATTTCCAATATTCTATCCTTTTGTCCCCATAAGCACACTCAAACTCGTACACTAGGTGCCTCTAGTTTTAATTATGAAAATAGGCTGATGTTACTCCACCAGTGGTTAGAGGTATGAACCACCACCACCACAACGTCCACCAGGGCGACTGACAGCAGAGGTTCAAGTATTCCTAATTACATACATCCAAATATGCATAATCCCACTGCACATTCCTGGCACCCCTCGGAGGTGTTCTGAGTGTTGGAGACACAGAGAAGAACCTTCATTTTATTAACCTATCCCGCTCACGGGACACCGTGCTTAGTCCCTGTTAACCTACAAGGGCTCCGCAAACATATTTGCACACCACTCCCCCCCGGGGGCCCGGACCACAGCAGTGCAGGCACCTGGAAATCGCTGCCGGGGAAAACATTTAAAACAAAAACAAAAACGACTTCTCAAGAGCTTTTCCAACCTGGAGTGAGGATATCTGAAGGCAGAGGTAGAATATTAGGATGTTTGAAAGCCCAGTTTCACCGAGTGAAAAGACCTGGAATGAGGCAAGGTAACGTGAAGACCCGGGGCTGCACTGGACATGGAGGGGGCTGCAGACACTGCCCAGACCGGCCCTGCCCTCGAGGGGCCCTCCGACTGGCTTCTGAAAGCTCGGCGGCGCCGGGAAGGCAGCCCGCGGTCGGGAGAGGCCTGAGCGGCCGCCGCGTCCCTGCAAGACCTCGGCCCCGTCCGACCGCAGACTGCCGACTAGGTGCCCCGAGTCCGGGCTGGGAACCTCGTCTGGGGCCGCCGCGTTACCTGCAGCAGGTGCAGCTGGGCCACGAGGCGCCGCGGCAAGTGGAGGAAGCAGTCGCGAGCGTTGGTGAAGGCCACGGTCACGGCCACTCCGCCTCCCCCCGCACCCGCCAGGCGATCGCTGCCCCACATCGTCAGCAAGCCCGGAGGCCCCGGCCGCCCACGCCAGCTGACGCCGGACGCCCGGGCAGGCCGAGCGCCTCGGAGCCGGAGGCGGCCGATCGCCCCGCCCCCTGTGCCCGCGGCGCCTCTCGCCGCGCTCCGCTAAGGGGATGGCCAAGCAAGCCTTGTGCCGCTCTGCGCGCCTCTCCGCCGCGCCGCTGGGGGACGGCACCTCTTGCACCGAGTCCTCGCTCGCAGGAAACGATGGTCCCCCGCTGTCGATTTCTAGCCAATCCCGGCACGCCTTGACCTATCCCTCCCTCTTATTGGATACACGGGAGTGCGGCGAGGCGGATGTTGTCGTCTTTGCAAGAGCCCAAACCGGCAAGATGGCGTCGAGTGGTCGGGAGCTTGGGGGCGTATTCGACCACCACGTCCAGCGGGCCGTATGCGACACAAGGGCCAAGTATCGGGAGGGGCGACGGCCTCGCGCTGTCAAGGTAAAGTGATTTTGGTTTCCTTCGCTGTCCTCGGTAACTTTATGTGAGCTCTAGCTCCACAAGCCTAGCTTACGTAAATAAAAGCTTGAAAGGCTGCGGTCATATCCGTCACTCATTGGAGATGGGTATGGGTAACACTGGTACTCAGGTACCGAAGATTCTCACGACCCTTTTGGTCAGCTGCTAGAACGTCAGCTCCGCAAGAACGGGCCTTTATTTTAGTCACTGTATCTTCCATGTTTACAGTAGTACTTGGCATACGGCAAGTGAATGTTTGTTAATTCTTTCCAGTAACTTCTACCGAGCCCACTTCTGGAATACATGTCGAAGGAATATTGTCTGTGCTTTAGTTAGAGGCCCTCACACGTGGGCTGAATTATTCTTTATGCAGAGAGAGGGGCAGAATTTTTGATTTGTTTCCTGCAGACCGACTGAATAGAGTATTTGTTGTTTTCAAAGCTTTTTTAAAAAACAGCAGATTTGTCCTAGGCTTATTTAGAAAACACGTTTAATGTGTCTGCGTTTCTTTTAGGTATATACAGTCAATTTGGAATCTCGATACTTATTAATACAAGGAGTTCCTGCAGTGGGAGCGATGAAGGAATTAGTTGAGCGATTTGCTCTATATGGTGCAATTGAACAGTATAATGCTCTAGATGAATATCCAGCAGAAGACTTTACAGAAGTTTATCTTATTAAATTTATGAATTTACAAAGTGCAAGGTAATATGCCAGTTAAGCAGTGTCTCATTTCCTCCATTCCCATTGCTATCATTTTGGCCCAAGGTTTCTCTTATTCATACCTGAATTACCCAGTAACCTAACATGGCACTGTTGTATTATCTTCCTCCTGTCTTCTTGAATGTTAGCCTTGTCAAAACACTATTTCCATCATGTCATTCCCATGTTTAGCAGTTTTCTGTCGTGTAGTGTGTAGATTAAAAATTGGGTTTGGAGTAAGTTTTCCAGTTCCCCTACTTACTAACATCATGACCTTGGACAAGTTAATTCCCTTAAGCCTGTTTTTCCTATTCTGTAAAATCTATATGGTAAAAGGACCTACTTACTGAGGTTGTGTGGAGATGAAATGAGATAATCCCTATAAAAGGCTTAGCATAGTGCCTCCTGTTTAGAACGCAATAAACATTAGCTATTGAGGTTCTTATTGTTATGTGCCTATGAGGATTGACCCCATCTTTTCCAGCCTTCTGTGTAACATGAACTCTCTGTTCCAACAAGGCTGAAGTATGAAATGCATTATCTGTTTTTAGGTATACCTCTATTGTTGTCACTGATTTGCTCCAACACCCATCCTTCCCTGGCTATTACAATTAATATTTTCTTTTCTGTGCTACAAATAGCAGTTGTTGTCTGCCACAAAAACACTTGATGGGATCATGTATTGTTCTCAGGTTGCTCTTATATGTAATCTCACTCTGCTAACCAGCTTGCCAGCTCCTCATGGTTAAGGAATGATCTTTTCTAGAGCTTTTGTATCTCCCGCAGCACCTAGTACAGTATGCTGTGGAGTTCAACATCGGGATTTGAATCCTAGGTCCATAAACTAATGTGAGTGTGGCCAAGTTATAAATCTCCCCAGTCCTCAGTTGTATTATAGGGTTGTTGTGAAGTGTTGATTCAAGTGAAGCACTTAGGACACTGCTTGGTGCATGGTAAAATCTCTGTAAGTATTTCTTTTCGTTATCCCTGGGCATATAAGTACTTAAGTATTTATTATAGTAGTGCCTGGCCAGTCATAGTTGTTTAATAAGTATTTGTTGAATGAATACTATTCTCTCATTTTCTCGTTGAGTAGTTGTTATATATTCAGTATTTCCTCAATTATTGAAAGCTTTACAATTACAGTATTTTAATTAATTTTTTATATATGAATCCCATTATAGGAATACATTGTGCTGAAAAGGCTAAATTGGGTATGAGCTAACTCTGAAGGGCCATTTAACTTAACACAGAGAAGATCTCTATTTCATGATCACAGATTGTGTACCTCCAGCTAACTGCTGGATCCTAAGCTGGTTAAAAGGAGTCTGGATATGTGTGGATGACTTAGCTCAAAACCTGTTAACACTATTGGGAGAGGGCAGGGAAGGCTCTAAGAGTATACACTGGATCAGTAGGGTCAATACCATCCACAAGCAGAGCCTCTTAATCCCCAAACCATGGGATGTACATACACATAGCAAAAGCTGGACTTTGGTCTTTAGATCAGTGCATTGTATACTAGTTAAGCTTCCATCCTAAGTAAATCTAGATTAATAAACCATGCTATCATGTACTTCTGTTTAGGATAGCCAAGAGGAAAATGGATGAACAGAGTTTCTTTGGTGGATTGCTTCATGTGTGTTACGCTCCAGAATTTGAGACTGTTGAAGAAACTAGAAAAAAATTACAAGAAAGAAAGGCTTATGTAGCAAGAACTACTAACAATAAAGGTATGGAAAGCCTGTTACTAAACACCTCCTATGTGTCAGGGCCTCTGCTAGGTATATCATCATGGAGCTCTCAGTCTAGTGGGAAGAGAGGCAAGTAAATGATCACAATATTCAATAACTGTAAACTACAGAGTTCTGTGCAGCAGTCTGCATAACCTGGGCTGGGAAGAGAGAGATACTGCTTGGTGGAAGACTTCCTACAGGATGCAAGAGGTGGCTGAGTTTTGAAGGATAGGAAGATATTATCCAGAAGGGGAGAGGAAGAGATGGAAAGGTTGGCCAGGTAGCATGTTTAAAGGCCCAGAAGAATAAGTGAGCATCATACATTTTAAGGAACTCTGAGTAGTACAGGGTAACCACAACACAGGGGCTTCAGTGAGAGAGAAGATTAGAAAGCCAGACAGGAAGTGAATCATGAAGGGCCTTGTGTCCCGTGCTAAGGAATTAAGGCTTTGACCTAAAGCCAGTGAGAAACAATTGTGATTTGTAGACCAGTTACCAACTGCTAATCTAAAACTGCTAAAAGTGGAAAAATTCCACTTTTGACCAGCAGCTGGCCAGATGCCCCATGTGCCCAACTGAGTTTTTCTGGACAAATTCCAATTGCCTGAAATAGAGTCATGGGATCTGGTACATGGATTATAGGACTAGAACAGTCAGAATTGGACTAAGAAAATATGTGTGGTCTGAAATCTGAATAGTACTAGAGGCACAGATTACCAGATTTCCACCCTTTAGTTGAAAGATCAAGTTGGCGTTCATACAGCTATTGAATATGATGAGTTTATGGCTGATTAGGGAAGGGGCATGTGGCAGGGGTGAAGAGAGAAATAAAGTGGGAAGACTCTTGAAAAATCTACCTGAAAATTTGGCTGTTGAGAGTCCCTGGTCGTTTGTAGAGACTGAACTTTAACCTGTGGGATATGTAAATAACTAGCTCCAGGAAAACGTGTATGTGTGCATGGCAAAGGAAATTACAAAATATGGGCCCAGCATTATTGCCTCCTTTAAAAACTAACAAATGCAAACTAAGCAGCATGATACGTTCATATTGTAGAATACTCTGAAGCTGTAAAAAAAAGGAGCTTTCTATGTAATGACATGGAAAAACTCTCCAAGATCTACAGTTAAGTAGAAAATGCAAAGGTGCAGAGAAATGGATATTACAGAGAAAAAGAGGGATAGGTGGGAGGAGGAAAAGTAAGACATACTGGACAGATAAATAAGAATAGTGATTACTAGGGCCAGCCCCGTGGCCTAGTGGTTAAGTTCGGCACACGCTGCTTCAGCGGCCTGGGTTTGGTTCCCAGGCATAGACCTACACCACTGATCAGTGGCCATGCTGTCCCAGCGACCCACGTACAAAATAGAGGAAGGTTGGCACAGATGTTAGCTCAGGGTCAGTCTTCCTCAAGCAAAACAAGGAAGATTGGCAACAGATGTTAACTCAGGGCGACTCTTCCTCAACAACAACAGAAAGACTAGTGATTACTTATGGGAGGTGGAAACCAGGCATATGGGGAGCAAGGAAAGAGTGAAGCTTGACACTAATACCTTTTATCCTTTTTAGCTTTTAAACACGTGAGTGTATTGCCTGCTCAAGAAATAAATTTTTCAGGGTAGCATTTGTTAACATTTTAAAGTAATGTTTTTTAAAATTACACATTTCTGGGCTGGCCCTGTGGCTTGGTGGTTAAGTGCGCGCTGCGATGCTGGTGGCCCGGGTTCGGATCCCGGGTGCGCATCGAGGCACCGCTTCTCCGTTCATCCTGAGGCCGAGTCCCACATACAGCAACTAGAAGGATGTGCAGCTACGACCTACAACTATCCACTGGGGCTTTGGGGGGAAAAAATAAAATAAATAAAATCTTTAAAATTACACATTTCTGAATGATCAAAACAATAAATGAACCATTTTTTTTTCCCTTCCCCTCACCTTTTAAATTGTAAAGATCATTATATGACAAAGAAGAAACTGGTTACAGAGCATAAAGACACAAAAAATTTTAGACAGCACTTCCATTCGGAGACATCTGGATTTTGTGCGGCTGCTGCGAACACTTCTATTGGGAACTCAGATTCTTGTCTTCCTTATTCTTGTGAATTGCCTTTATGTTATTTCTCCTCAAAATGTACGTGTTCATCAGGGGAACATGTGGACAGAGCATCAAACTCCTCTCAGGATTGTAGAAACCATGATGAAACAGTGGAGTATTGTAACCACAATGACTCTTTGCAGAAAATGCAAATGAAAACTTTTAGAAATTCAGTGGCCTGCCCTGGTGCACAGAAGGCTATCACTCCTTCAGAGGCAGTTGACAGATTTATGCCTAGGACAACACAACTGCAGGAGCGGAAAAGAAGAAGAGAAGATGATCGTAAACTTGGAACGTTTTTTGAAACAAGCACAAGCAGTAATGAGGTTATGATTGGGCCTCTGTTGCCAGACATACCCAAAGTGGATATGCATGATGACTCCTTGAATACAACAGCAAATTTAATTCGGAATAAACTCAAAGCGGTAAGATCACTTAACTGTTTTAAGAGACTATTTGATCATAGAACTGACAACTAAATGGAGAATTTTTTGTAGGAACTACGTATAGTCATTAATTTTTTTCATTTTTAGTGTTTTGATGTGTTTTCCTACAATTCTCTGTTTAATTAACTGAATTTGACTACCAAATTTATTTGCTTCAGTACCATTAATCCTTGCTTTAAACAGTGACAGAACATAGTTCATATCACTCTAGATATAAGATATAACAGCAGTGGTTTCAGTCAGTTAGATCAGTCTGTTAGAGTGGAGCCAGGCCCTCCCTATTTTAAAGCTCCCCAGATCTGTTATGAGCCAAAGTAGAGAACAATTCCATTGAAGGAAAATTATTACAATTTATTTCTCTTAAGTTCAGTTACTACAAATTACATCAAATTCAAAATGCTTATTTTGCCTCTTTGATAAAAATAGCCATAGAAGAAGGTGAAAATTCTAAAGATTAGTCCTTAAGGTCTGCATTTCAAATGTAAACTTCTTAAATAGACTAGCACAGATTGTGCTACTTAGGTAGTAATTTTTTTTAATTATTTACATAATTGTTTTCCATTCTCTAAGCACAAATAAAAGAAAGTTAACATTTGAGTAAGCTTTTGAAAGATGCCTTTTTGTGGGAGAAGCCTTTTAGAAATCATAAACTCAGGGAGAAAGACCATTCTCTTATACTTCAACTCTGAGGTTCAGAAAGCGCTTTTCACACAGTTGTGCATATACTTTACAGTGTGACGAAGGGAGGCTAAGGTAGCTTAGTTTATTTTACATATCTTTTTTTTTTACCTGAAAATTATCTGATTAAGGAAGAGGGATTGTTTTATAATAATAAAAATCCATGGACACAATTTCTATGCTTAAGCCTCTTTTTAAATTTCTTATAGTTTGTGCGGGCACCCTTCCTCCCTTCAGATACAGCTGAACTGAGCTGTATGTAGCTGATACATAGCTCTCAGCCAGAGTGAACTGTATTTTTTTAAGAAAAAAAGTGTTAGGTCCAAATCCTAGATAACAGAAATACTAGAACAACAAAAAAGAGAAATACTAAATAGAATTTACTACAGTTTCTAGTAATTTTCCATTTTAAGAGAAGACTGTCTTAACTCTGCTTTAACTTATTGTCCACTCTTTTTCTGATGATGTATTTGGTTTCATTTTTCCCTGAGAAATTGAGGATTATGCCATTTTCTGCTTATTTCTCCAAATTTTATGCATAACCAGGATATCTGTCTGTGTCCATAAAATAACAAGTGACTTCAGATCTATAAAGGAGTGTTAAAGTAGAGCATATGTTTACTTTTCTCCTCTCGAATTTGTTTTCTTGTTAAATTGCTTTAGAAATTTTACTCTCATCAACGTTTGGACAGAAAACTTTGCTCCGTGCCCAGAGCATAGGCTGTTATCTTGAACTTGGGCTAACTCGGCCTCAACTGTGATGACAAGGATTGAACTACTAGATATATATCCTGTCTCTTCTGATAGTTTATTTACTCCTCTACTATAAAAATTAAGTCTTGTTGGTTCTCTTTTTTTAAACTAGGTAATTTCATCTGTGCCAAAGCCTCCAGAGGACAAGCTGGAAGATGTCCATACAAGTCGTCCATTAAAACAAAGAAGAAGAATATAGATTGTCAGCAACTAATTAATATTTTCTAAGGGACTATTTATTTTCTATTTTTAGCCTGTAATTTTAATTCTTGAAGAGATTTTACTGCTGGTATTTTTTTAATGCACTTTTCTTTGTAATTTCATTTAAACTACTTGTCTAATATAGTTTTATCTTTTAAAATTAGTTTATCATGTACAACATACATTTCATCCAAATATATTCCTTAAAAAAAAAAAAAATTTTTTCAGAAACTTCACCCAGTGGCTTTGGTTACATCTTATTGGCTAGAACTGGGCTCATGGCTGTTCTTAACTGAGGAGTCTGGAATGGTGTTTTATGTTTCCAACTTCTGTGGTTGAGAAAGCAAGAGAAAAGAGGCTGTCCATTGACAGTCTGTGGCTAATTCACAGTATTTGCCACAAGATCCAAGGTTGATAGCTAATTTAAAAAATAAAATTAGTTTATCATTACTTATTATAGATATTATCTTGATCCATACTTAATATTACAGAAACTGTTCATATAATTTTACCTCTCACATTGCAATAACTATATGTAAATTAATTGAAGCAAATATAGAAACTTTACAAAGATAGGCAACCAGGATCTGTTTCTAATTTTAATATAAATATTGAGTGATTCACATTCAAAAACTAGAAGTCAGGATGTGTTTGAATGCCAGGGCTTCAAAATCAAGACAATTCTGTAAAGTAAAAAAGTTAATAAACTATTAGAGCAAAGCTGAAATTAGAAGCTTACATGCTTTAGTTAACTTCTAAGAAGAATTTACTTGATCTGTGGCAGAAACAAATCAGTATTTGTAAATATTAGACATACCACTACATTTAGCGCAGTCACATTTTTTTTTTCTGTCAGTGGACCACACAGTTGAAAATCCAAGCATATCTAGGCTGTTTCCTTTTTTTTTTTCCCACTGATAAAAATAACTTGAGAAGGCCCATACCAAATGGTGTCTGTTTTTCTTTTCTTTCTTCCTATCCTTAAGGCCCTCTTGTCTAATGGATTGAATTTGAAGAGATCAGTTAATAAGGTCCATCTTCAGTTGTGACCTACGGATTCAGCTTGCTAGGATGGCACTAAGTGGCAGATGGTATTAAAGGAAGCTGCAGGCAGATTTTGGGCCCACTTCCTTATAAGGTAATTAGATATATTTTTTGCTGAAGTCTCAGGTAAAAGATACATTAGACAGTTGAGCATAGACTTGGAAAGACCAAGGTGCTATCTAGATCAGGCTTCTCAGACTTTAAGGTGCTATGAATCTTTACCCCAGGGTCTTATTAAAATGCAGATTCTGATGGTGGCAGCCAGGGGGCTGGCAGGTGGTGGGAATGGGGAGTTGTTTAATGGGCATAGAGTTTCAGTTTTGCAAGATGAAGAGTTTTGGAGATTAGGTGCACAACAGTGTGAGTGTACTTAACACTACTGCACCGTACACTTAAAATTGGTTAAATTTTGTTAGGTGTATTTTACCACAATTAAAAAAAATTCTCGGGCCGGCCCCGTGGCTTAGCGGTTGAGTGTGTGCGCTCCGCTGCCGGCGGCCCGGGTTCGGATCCCGGGTGCGCACCGAGGCACCACTCCTCCAGCCATGCTGGGGCCGCGTCCCACATACAGCAACTAGAAGGATGTGCAGCTATGACAGACAACTATGTACTGGGGCTTTGGGGGAAAAATAAATAAATAAAATCTTTAAAAAAAAAAAAATTCTCTTACAGCCATAAAGGTGGGTTCTGTGTTCTTGAATCGATTCCTGATCTGTTCTGTGACTGTGGAGGCCAGCATCCCTCCCCATCCCCACCAACATATGCAATATTTGACCATAATGAGAGAAAGAAACAAACTTTTGTTGTGTCAAGCACTAAAAAAAGGATTCTGATTCAGTTGGTTTGGAGTGGGGTCTGAGATTCTGCATTTCTCACAAGTTCCTAGGTGATACTGTTGCTGCTGGTGCATGGACTACACTTTGAGTAGCAAGGCTCTGGATAACTGGGCTACAGATGAACTCTCCAGGAGCAGCTGAGGAACTGTTGGTGTTCCATCCGAACCAAAATAGTTACTCCAATCCAGTCCGTTATTCTATACTGTTTCACCCATCAGTCTCTTAAAACAAGAAGTTTACCTTTCACCCATTGCTTTTTACCACACGTTACACAGTTAAGGTGTGGCAGTAAATTACAGTTAGACAAGTTAGACGAGCTGAGATGTCTGACGTAGCTTTACATTATGCAGATTAATTCACAAAATCACTACTGCAGAGAATAAAAACTTTCTTTGTATATCATGTTCACAAAGCACAGTTGATCAAAGGAAGAATTAAGAAAGGAAAACATTTGAGTTGAAAGAGATCAGATTTTCTCCTAGCAGTTTATGGTGGGCACCTGTTGAATTCACTCTTTATTCACTGTTCTTTCCCTTAAGCAAGCCAATATACCCTGGTTTTCTTTGGGAAAATGTCATTAACATAACAGGAAATTAGGAATTGTGTACACCTAAAGAGGTTATAAGCTCAAAAACGTCTGTTGAATATAATTACTTAATAGTCACTGCTGTCTTGGGTCCCAAAATGCTAGGGTGGGGCTGAGCCCTTCATGGTTGCCAGAACTTCAGCAGTGGGCTGAAGCCCTACAGATGTACGTGTGTCTAGCAAGTATTACTTTCTGATCCTTTAAAATTTTCCCTCAACCAATTTGGACTGTTGGCACTGTACCTGTGCTTCTGGTAAACATGGTCCAAACACCTCCAACAAAAGTCTCTCTTCTCTGACTGCTTTTTCAAAGTCTGCAAAAGATATCTTGCCATCATTGTCATAATCCTAGAGAGGAAGATGATTTCTTGATAAATGATAGAGTAGTTTTTAGTTTTGCATGGAAAATGTCTAGAATAAAAGGTTTTACCAAGTAAAACTGTACACATACTTCTGTAAGCACTACTTACATACATCAAAAGGTACTTATTTATGGAGGCCACTTAACTTGATTCCTGTTAATCTAATTGGCATACCTGGTATTATGAACTGAATATTTGTGTCCCCACTCCCCTAATTCATATGTTAAGCTGTAACCCCCCAATGTGATGATATTTGGAGGTGGGGCCTTTGGGAGGTAATTAGGTTTGGATACGTTCATGAAGGTGGGGCCCCTGTGATGCAATTAGTGTCCTTATAAGTAGAAAGAAAGAGAGACCAGAGCTCCCTCTCTCTGCCGTGAGGACACATTGAGGAGGTGGCTGTCTGCAAGCCAGGGAGAGAGCCCCTCACGAGGTAAGTGAATCTGCTGGCACCTTGATCTTGGACGTTCCAATCTCCAGAATTGTGAGAAATAAATTTCTGTCGTTTAAGCCACCAGTCTATGATATTGTAGCAGCCCAAGCAGACTAAGACACCTGAGTTACCTTAGATATATAAAATGTGTTCCTGTCCCTAAAGGTCTAATACTCTAATTGGGGAAATAAGAAAAAAAATTAGAGGAAGCCCATTATTACATTGCTACATTTGTGACAAAATAAGTGCCATAGGGCAAAGATTCTCAAGCTTAATTTTCGGTAGTAGAACTTGTTCCTCAAAAGATCTCTTACTTGGGATCCTATCACATAGAAAGGATAAAAGTGAAGTTGCTCAGTTAAGGAACAAGGCACTGGGCGTTAGAGCAGTAACACTCCAAGATGGACTAGAGTCATGAAAAGAAGCTTGCAGACCACTGCTGGGCCTTTAAGGATGGTTGGGATCTGGATAGGTGGAGAGGTGTGAGGAGGAAATACAGAAGAATGGCCCAACCTGAATTACAACAGTAAGCAGGAGTGTAAGTCAGGAAGAAGACAGGCCTGCCGGGGGTGGAGCGTTCGTGGCAGGGACTACGGATGCTTAAGTAAATCATGAGAGCATGTGTGTTGATTATGAATGCTATTAACTACTTAATTGAATTTGGATTTGATTTGATGGGTCCTTGTTTTTTGACTTCTGAGCATAACTGATTTCAGCCCTGATTTCAGGGCTGCTGAGGGTCTATTTTGAGAAAGGCTTGAATAATTGTCAGAAAAATGTTCACTCCATAACATTTCCTTTTAAAAAAGAATGAGGTGGGGGGCCAGCCCTGGCGGCCTAGAGGTTAAGTTCAGTGTGCTCCACTTTGGCAGCTCAGGTTCGGTTCCCTGGTGTGGACCTACACCACTCATCTGTCAGTGGCCATGCTGTGGCAGCGGCTCATGTACAAAAAGAGGAAGATTGGCAGCAGATTCAGGGCTAATTCTCCTCAGCAAAAAAAAAAACAAAGGCGGGGGGGTTGGTACTGGGGAACATACTGTCTCTCAAGAAGTCTACCCTCAGCCCTAGCGCAGTGGCTAGTGAGAGTATTTCTAATGGAAGAAGATACTTGGGAGTCTGTGTTAGCTGAGTCTGAGACTTGGCAGCCGCCTCATCTGTCTGCTTCTTTCCTGAACTCCAGAGTAATGGGAGTGAGCTGGCCGCAGGCTGCCTTGGAGTCACAAACCTTCACTGGTAGCCAATTTAGGGTCACAGTAAGAAAAGGAGAGAAATCACTATGTCCATAATAAAGAGGTATTATTGGTTTCATTGAAAGGTGAATTCTGCATCCAATTTTCTAGTGTGACCTTGGGTAAACCCATCTGTACTTCAGTTTTCTCATCTGCCAAATGGAATACTCTCTACTTCATAGGGTTGTTTTGAGGATAAAATGAGTTCCTATATTAAAGTTCTGTGAAGGGCCTGGCATATAGAAAGCACTCTGTAAGGGCCACCTATATTATTATGTTATTTTGTTATAAGGAGCATTTAGATGAATTGGAGGGCTAAGGTCATGAAGACAGACCAGAGTAGCATCGAATTTTACATGAATCTGCTCCTCCCCTAATTAATGAGGTTTTACTGATAGTAAAATATTTTAAAATAATAAAATTAAATTCATTTTGTATAGTGATTCATTTATTCACTCAGCCATTCCATAAATATTTATTGAGCACCCACTATCAGCCAGGCACTGTTCTAGGCAGTGGATAGAGCAGAGAATAAACAAAAACTCCTGCCCTCATAAAGGTTACATTCATTATGGAGGGAAAGAAGTCATTTCTTCATCTTCAGCTTTATCCAACATCCACTTGATTGGATATAATGAATTAAAGTTTTTCATTCTTACCATTTTCTTCAGTGTTATATCTACTAACTCTTTTATTCCTTCATCAGTCTCTTCTTCAGTTGACGCTTGGTGTAGACTGTTCTTCAACATGTCAAATATTTCCTCTCGAGAAATGTAACCATCACCATTCAGATAATAAACTTCAAAACAAACTTTTCAAAGCATAAGAAGTTTAAAGACTTGGATAAGTTAAAATGTTATTAGTCTTCTCCTTAGTTATTTCAATATATAATAAAGACAAAAACAGTTTTTACAACCTACAATTATTGGTCTATATGGTAGATTTTAAAATAAAGCACCCTTTTATATTTCTTTTCACAAGATTAAATACCCCCTGTGATGTGAAAAGAAAGACTTATAATTTCTGGATTTTGAAATTGAGGGTTTAAAAATGTTATGAAGCTGCAATAAAGGAGATACATATTTTTTAAACCTTTCATCATACAACACATATATATACATATATATGTGTGTGTATGTTTATCTCAGTATTATGATTCTCTTACATAGAGTACAAAAACTAGGTACACACTTGACTATGTCCCTGACAAAGAACATTTTTCGATATATTTGGGTAGTGGGTCTGTCATCTTCTTGGGGCCTGCCCGTCTGCACTATCCAAAATCCTCTCTCTCTCCCTGGAGAGTGACTTCCATCTCACTGTGTAAGCACTACCACAGTTCACTCATTCATCCCACAGATGACCTCACTCAGGTCCTGGGAATACAGCAGTGCAAGAGCTCTTGTGGAGTTTGTAATCTAGTTAAGTGTTTTAGCAAAAGCAATAGAACCAGGTATAAAATTCCAGAGTATCAGATTTGCTGTGTTTTTATTGAGTTTCTCACATGTCTAGCAAACATATGAGTTTGCAACACAACCCTACTAGAAGTAGTATTTTCCCCAAATTGACACATCTTGATATGTATGTATATGAAACATTTTTAGGAACTGAGATTAGAGGAGGAAATTTTTTTTGATAGTGTGATGCTCTTCAACCACGTACAGCTGTGTTCAGTGTCACGACCATTTTCACCATGTATTAGTATTACCACAAGAATTTATATCCGTAAGACTTAGCTTTTCACTTCTCAGTGAGACTTCTGTATAAGAAAGCTGCAACAAACTTAAGTGGCAACTATATTTAAATGTTATCCTGTGAAAAATTAGACCAGAGAAAAGTTAAGAAAAAAGCCACATAATGTATGTCAATTATACCTCAATTTAAAAAAAAATCAAAAAGAAAAAAACACAAAAAGTCATAAATATCAGAGAAAGTTGGTGATTTTTTAAAATGCTGTTATCATTTTAAAAACGTGTGTTTAATTTAGGGATCTTCTTTTGAACATCCCAAATCCAAATTTAAGTGGAAGAACAAGAGGGGATAAAAATTTGCTTGCTTACTCCGAACTCGGCAGTCTTTTCTTAAGCAATTTGACACTTTAAGCAATTTGTTCCCTTGAAAATTGCTATTTAAAATTGTTCCTATTCTCTTTCCAGGGTTCCTTACCCCAAATCCTGGCACCAGAAGTGTGAAGTGTCAAATTGCTTAAGAAAAGACTGCAGAGTTCTGAGTAAGTAAACAAATTTTTATCCCTTCTTTTTGCTTCCACTTGAATTTGGATTTGGGATGTTCAAAAGAAGATCTCTAAATTAATGGTAAAGGTAGGGTGAGGCCAGAGCTATTTCTAGGCAAAATTGTGAATTGGAAGATTTTTGTCGTTGGAATTCCTAACGTTCCTTTTCTGTAGGAAGCTTCCTTTATAATCTTCCTCCCTTTGGGCTTTCATTGTCCTCAACCTTCTTCCCTCTCTCTACACTAACTCTAACACTACAGTATTGGTGTCTGGTGGTTAATGTGTGTTTTACCTCATTTAGTGTCAATCCCTCACATTTTCTTTGATGAAAAGACAAGGAATGGCCCCACTGTGACCTATACGCTGCCCCATATCAAGGCCCATTTCCTGCTGAGCCCGGAGGCAGCCTCAGAAACCTCAGCCTTGCCAGCTGATCAGAGTTGGCACAAGCCCTGACCCTTAGTTGCTGTTCTTAGCCTGGGCCTTAAGCCAAAGACCCATCCTGGTGACATTTGGGCATTACAGAACCAGTGAAGGAAATGTCTGGGGACCCTGGTACTAGAGACTCTCCTAGGAAATAGGCCACTCATTTCATTTTTTTTTTTTTAAAGCTATTATGAACTATTTTTGCAAGGTTGCTATAGAGAACACTGATTTTATATTTTTAAAAACTATTTAAGCATTCATGAAATACAAAATTGACAATATGTATTACTAAGTCAGTAATCACATATAGAAATCTTACACTTCAGCTTTTCTTCAAAAGTCCCTCGAAGAAAAACTGATAATCCTTTAACCCATTCTTTTACATTTATGCAGTTATCGTTGTCTTTGTCAAATGCAAAAAATACTGAAAAAAAGAAAACGTGTGTCTTTTACACCTGTTTTATAATTCAAGAGTATGTATGTATGAATAGATTTAAAAAAATACTTTCCTCCCAAATTGAGGGGAAAAAAATGTTTTGGCACAATCTTTCTTAAAAGAGTCAAAAATACTGGAAATATGTTTCCCCCACATTTTTATAGAAAGAAAAGAGTCATTCTCCTCCATGATCAATGATGAGCTTCATTTGTGATGTTTGTACAGTTACTCTGAGCCAAGAAGACAAACAGTGGAGCTAATCAATGTGATAATTTTTATTCTAAAAAGAGTAGTAAAATTTTGTTCTAAAGAGTTTGTACAGTACCTAAAGAAAAATTACTAAAATAACACATTGTCTTTAAAATTACCAATGACATCTTAATTCTATCCTATAGAAAATAAGATATTATTGACTCTTTTGGAGTTGATAGATATATTAATTATTTTGGTTATGGCTATGGTTTCAAGGGTATATACATATGTCAAAGCTTACCAACTTGAACACTAAAAATCTGTTAGTGAAATTCACTGTATCACATTAAATAATTTCCCATTTTAAATATATGATCTTTCATTTTTTTCAGTATAATGAGTAATCATCATCCTTTGTACTGATACATTCTTCATTTTTATGAGGAAAGAGATCTAATAATTTAATAATTTACATGTCTACAGCATGTGAATCCAAAGACACCATGATTAAAAGCCATATGCTTATCTTTTAAAAAACAATACTGCTGACTTATTTAGTTCATTACTGGTTATCACTCAAAGTGTTACAGCTATCAGATATGAAATTCTGAGTGAGTTTATAATAAAAACCATCCTCACAATCAAATCAACTACTATTTTATATTGGCAGCACTACCACAATCATGTCTTTCTAGAGTGGCATTAAAAAATTCAAAGTCTTTGATGAAAAGCGAACATATATATATTAGCCATATATTAATATATATAAATATATATGCCATATATCTATATTTGCCATCTCAGCTTGGCCCTTTTCAGCTTCTTATGACTTCTTACCTCTATTCATTAGCATATCATCAGTCATTCCAAATATGCTGTGCAGGATCCCTCGAAATGCGTTACGATCTAGTCCAACGTTATCATGTCTTACATCAGCTCTTTCCACCAAGCTGTGAAAAAGTCTTATGAGACACTCTACTTCACTTTTTTTGACTGTAAAATGAAAATATAAATAAATACAACTTAGATTTAATCATTGAGTTCTCCAACCCAATTAAAAATATTTTACTAAGCAGCTATTTTGTTCCTATGATACTAGGTGCTCTAGTGATTAAAAAAAAAGTATGACGTAGACTTGTTACTTAAGAGCTTACACAATTAAGATGGGCATCACTCAGAAGTCTCATAAGACAGTATATAAATGATAGATTATGTAGTATAATGCTCACCACTATAGACATGTGAAGAAAGAGAAATCAGTATGGGAAAGAGGAGTCAGGCCATTTTCATGGGAGTAGACTTTGAACTGGGCCTTGAAGGATGCATGGTATTTATATAGGAAGGAATGTGTTGGGGGTGGTAAAGAAGTGGAGAATTCCAGGAGGAGGGAACAACATGAGTAAAGGAAAGAGGTGGAATTGAAATTGAACACAGCAAGTTGGGAAGAAGTGAAAAACAAGATTGAAGAGGATGGGCTAGTGGTCGAGGGCCTTGAATGCCTGGTCAGAGGATTAACATTTATTTTACTGGAATACTGTTGCTCATGGTGTCATTTTGGACCATTTGTATGAGAATCAACCCCCTCTCCATTGCTTGTTAAATATGCAGATTCCCAGGCCTTGCCCCAGACCTATGAAGTCAGAATTGCTAACAGCGGACCCAGGAATTAGCTTCTAAATAAGGGGTTGGTTGACTCTTCTATGCCGTAAGGGTTGAGAAGTTGTTTAGGAAAATTCATCTCTCAAAGTTGAAGTGGAAAACTGGCAGCATAGAAGCCAGGGTTGGAGTGATAGGGCTTTGGCTAGGGAGGTGGACATGAGATCAGAGGGCAGGAAGGGAGCGTGAGATGCTGCAGAAGATCGGTAGGACTTGGTGACTGATTTTCAAACCAAAACTTTTTAATATTCATATACCTGGATCTCACTGTAAGTAAACTAATGGTAGTTTTAAGAAGTGCACAGGTGATTCTAATGCACCGTCAGGACTGAGAACTAAGGGATTAGACTTAACAGGTTGGAGGTATTAGACTTAAGCATCTGGGTTTCACTCCTGTTTCTTATCCTATTAAATAGGTGAGAGACTTAGACAAGTCATAGAGCTTCTTTATGCCTCAGAGTCCTCACCTATAAAAATTGGGTATTGTCCTAGATGATCTCTCAGATTCTTTCAATGTCTAAAAGTCTAATTCTATGAATCAAAGATTGTTTGAGAGAACTAGAAGAGTTAGGATGGAAAGCTGGTTACTATTTTTCTTTTTCTCTTCCTTTTCCTCCCTCATTCTTTTTTTTTTTTTTTTTTTTTTCATGGTGCCCTCCTTCTCTTCGTCTTTCACTCACCCCCTCCGGTCTCCGCCCAGGATCCAAACCAGTCAACCCTGGGCCGC